TAGCATGGCAGAAGCTGGCAGAGCTATGAGATCGAAATGGAACAATATTAAACTTCCTCATTTAAAAACTATGCAAAGGTAAGTCAGTTTTTCTATTAATTAACGATTTCTCCCTATTTCAATTCTTTTTCTCTTTTTCAATAGAGTCATTCAGAAATTCGAGGGAAAGGGAAAATTGATAGACTTGAGAAAACATCTCAGACCTTCTGTCGTGCTCACCGAGAAAAAAGATTCAGGAAGTTAAAGATTTTTTTTAACAAAACCCTAAGGCATCATTGAGACAGTCAGCTCCGTTACTTGCACTGTCTCGTGGAAAATTGAGAAAGTGTCTGCGGAAGATTTTACGATTATACCCGTACAAAATATCAACAGCTCAAAGATTGACTGAAGTTGCCAAGGAGAGAACAATTTTGTGGACAACTTTTAGGAGAAGTTGAAGGAGATATAGCGCCTTACGATAAGATCATTTTCTTAGATGAAGCTCATTTCTATCTTGATGGTTTTGTCAACAGACAAAATTACAGATTTTGGGGATCTGAAAACCCTCACTTAGAATTAGAGAAAAATCTTCACCCTGAAAAGGTAACTTTCTGGGCTGCTGTTTCAGTGAAACGTATCTTTTTAACACACTTCACTGAAACAGTTACTGCATCTCGATACATAACTCTCTTAAAAGATGAAATTGATTGTGGAGTGATAACCTGAAAAAGTTAGTGACACATCAAACATCAATCATGTTCATTCGAAGTCCATTGGTGTTGAAAGTTCAAGCAACTTTCACATTGACACCTTATCGTATTTCAAATCAAGTTGATTTATTTAATTAATTTAATTTCAGGAATCGATACGGTGTATTTCCAAGGAAGTGAATTAATTGGAATTCATATTTTGTGAAATATCATTAATCGTTTCCATTGCTGAAATTTCTGGCTGTTACTGTTGCTGCTGCTGTTCCACCTTATATACAGGGCGATTACGCTAAATTAAGAGATTTGTTTTCGGAATAACTTGAGAACGGCGAATCGTTGACAAGATCAGATTGCAGATATGGACTTGGGAGACCATGGGAATTTGTTTGACATCAAGTTCGAAACTGACCTTTCGGTAGGCCAAAAGTCCGTCCGAGTTTCGCTTTGAGAACAGAAATCATTTTTTTCTGGCTTTAAAAGAGCAAAATATTTCGCAAAATTTTACCAGATAATTTTGGCCTAGCGATTCATGGACTTTGGCCTACCGAAGGTCAGTTTCGAACTTGATGTCAAACAAATTCCATGGTCTCCCAAGTCCATATCTGCAATCTGATGTCAACGATTCATTTCTCGTTATTCTGAAACAAATCGTTTAATTTAACGTAATCGCCCTATATATGAAAGCATTTCAGCAATTCGTTTACTCTCATCGATACAAGATCTAGGTCCAATTGGATTAATGTTTCCCTAATAATCTTCCGATTGTGGGTGGACTTGAGGAGCTCCGTCAACTTCTGATATTGTTGCCACCAAAACTCTAGCACTGATTCGTTTGGCTAAACTAAGCATATTAATTGTCCCCAAGGTATTGGTCTTGATTGTTTACACTGGATTAAACATGTAAGGAGGAGGCGAGGCTGGAGATGCAAGTTGGTAAATCTGATCAACTTCAATGTATAAATGGTTAACTATTTCATGTTGGTTCAGTTCAAAATTTTTATGATAAAACCAATGATGTAGATTACGTTTTCTACCAGTGAAAAATAATCAACTACAGTTACATCGCGACACTTTTCAATAAAGTGTCGACCAAATGTGACCTCACTAATCCATAAACCTCTTATGTTGACGCAATCAAAACTCCGACACCGATTCATTTAACTAAACCTAAATATTAATTATCACCCAAATATTGGTTTGAATAGTTTTCACTGGACTAAAATATTCAATGATGTATCGAAATCCTTAGTATCTTGGTTAATTTCTTATCATAATCTTATCTTATTTAACTGCTTTAAGACATGTTATTCCGCTAAGTAAATTCCTCGCTTTTATTTCCATTCTTCTGAAGATCAATATCTCAGAAAGTAATGGTCATAACGAAAAAAGTCGCTTTTCTGAAATCAGCGTGTCAAAATTTCTACTCTAAAGCCATTTATCTCAGGAACTAGATCTTTCTGCAATCCCATGCTCGCACATAATATGTAGTTTGACATCAAGCCTCTAAAAGTGCGGACCTAATCCGAAGTCCAGCCTCACTTTTCAATATTTACTTGGTTATATTCCTTGTTGTTGATGATGATGATTAACATTAGATTTTAATTGCATAGCCAAATCTGACACTGATGAAAATTCATGTGCTAATAGGGATTATTCTCAAGAGCTAATTATTACTTGATATTAATTATACGTTTATATATATTATAGTATATCTTCATCATCAGGTTAATTTAATTGTTACCTTTTATTTGAATAATTATTTCAACATTTATTCATATTGAGCGTCCAGTAGGTAATCAATATAATCACTTTTAAATGCAAGCCGAACTGATCAAATTGATTATCTTTTCATATTAATAAGAACATCACTTAGACAACCAAGAGATAGTCGATGGATTGTCACAGGGACTAAATCAACCTCCAATTCCTATTCCGAACGCATTAAACGGCATCTGCATTTGAACTATTCCATAACAAGCAAGGGTATATCGAAAATCTATGGAAAGATAACGAAATTTACCAAGTTATAACTTCGAGTCTTAAAAAAGAAAATGTTCTAATCAAGTTCGAGGAGTGGTTCTAACCATAGATTATGATAAACAACATAACTTATGAGTTGACTGTTAACAATTAAATATTATCATTAGGTGTGGTGATTAACATTAAACTATTCCAACGTAACTTAGGATAATGATAGTTAACTGATTAACCGGATTAATTATTGTCTACAAAACTTTTTTTTCTAGTTTTATGTTAATCATTTTGTTTGGTTAATCATTTAAATTGATTTTATACTTGGAGGCAAATCTAAATTGTTTGTAACAATTTAAATAATCAAGATGGCCAATTAATTGCTAAGTATTTTAAATTGTAATTATATTTAAATTGTCATTCAAATTAAAATTTGTTTGCTTGAAACATTTCAATGATGATTATTATTAAGACACTTTGTTGATGATTGTGTTTTAAATTGTTAAATATTCAAATTTATTACCAACAATTAAACAATTTAATTGTGATAAACATGATAACCTGTTTATTGTTAATGATCAAGTTCAACGTTTGATTAGTTTAATGTAATCACGTTTATTAATTTAGTTTAATATTTGCTAAATGATTACTTTGATAGCCTTGATTATTATGATAGTTTAATTGTAATTTAAATATCAGGTTAGTGATTTAAATTGTTGATTTAAAGATGAAGAAAGTTTTTTTTTAATTTGTTATCACTATGTACACTTAATTGTTCAACTAACCAGCTAATTGTTGTTATATTATTTGTCGGTATTAATATTATTGCTTATTAATTAACATAATGATGATTAACAAATGATCATGTTAATCATGATTACGATGATGATGATGATGATGATGATGGTGATATTAATAGTTGATTGTTGTTATGTTATTAAATGGTTCAGTTGACAATTAATATTTGATTCGGTTGGTTGAATTGAAATCAATTAACACAATTAATTGTTAACCAGAGAGACACAGAGTCAAAAAACTGTTGGTTAACTTTAATAATCATTAACATGTCAACACAACAATTAACTTAACTACAAAGCCATTTAAATTGATAACAGATGAATAACACAATTAACAATTAAGGATTAGTAATAAATTTATGAAAATAAAATCGATAACAATTAAATTATAAATGAATTAAGCTAATCAAATATCTCAATGTGACAATTTAAAAGACAGAAAAAAACTTTTTTAAATATTAGTTTCGTTTTCATTATAAACTTTTTGATTGTTGATTAAATTATTATCTTGACAATTGATGGTGATAATTAACAAGAAAACAATTTGATTGTGATTAAGTTGATCACGTTATGTCGATTATGATTGAAATGGATTCGTCTTAAATTGTTACTCTGGATTAAGTAAATTAAGGTAAGTTAGTTAAAGGAAATCGTGTTAATATCTTATCCATTTAATTGTAAGTACCATTGATTGTTGTTGTTGATTCAATTGCTGGCTTTGTATTTATCATCACCATTATTATCATCATCATCCTCATCCTCATCCTCATCATCATCTTGATAATCTTACCTGTATCCTCCTGATGATGATAATGATGAGGATGATAAAGATGAGGATGGAGATGATTGTTTTCTTGTGGTCAATTAGGTAAATATCTTGTTACCTGAGAACCATAAGAAAATCGCCTTGGGCGTTTTTTTGAGTTTCTCTCTCTTTCTTTTTATGTTGATTGTGATTCCATTTTAATATTCAATTGATTTAGTTAAGAGTAGGTTGTTAGTTAATTGTTAGTTTTAATCATCTTTTTTTCTAATACGGTTTAATGTTCATCATTTAAATAATGACAATAATCATTACTGTTAACTATTTTGTACAACCAACGATTTAAAGTTAATTCATCATTAAATTATCTTTAAATCGTTTCTACCCTCACATTTAACAAGAAATTAATTCTTCACTCTTTAATCAACCATCTAAATGAATTAAAAGCTCAAAACAAAATCAACTTCGATTCTCAACAAATAAACGTAACGATCAACACAAAAAAAAATCCAAACCAAGTCCATCGAAACCATCAAATGAATACTTAACCCTAAATATAATCAACTTCTCTCAGTTGATTGTTCACACAAAATGATGAAAACAAGTCAAACTAATCGTAACAATTAAAATCTAATTAACAAAACAATAGAATTACTCTCGCCATCTATCGTCTCAAAAAGTAACTAAAAAATCGAAGGAATTTTTTTTCTATTGTAAAAATTTCCCCAAAAATCCAATAGATGGCGAAAGCTAAACCAACGATTTAAATTCCATTTTCAATAAATCATTTGGTAAATATTTCTTCATCACTCCCACCGTCACCATCACCACCACCACCAAAGCATCATCATCATCACCATCTACCACCACATACAATTTACCACCATCACTATCAAAGTATTTTGAATGAACAGTATTTCAACCAAAGGAAAGAGACAAAAAAAGACTCTAAGTAAAAAATACTGAGTCTGAGTCTGAATTTGTTATTGTTTTGGTTATGGATTTTTTTTTGTTTCTTTTCTTTCATCATTTCTGATATTAAACTAAAACTATAAGAAGTTGAGTTAAATATTGTCCATCGAAAAAGGTGAACAACTGAGAAAAAAAAACCTCATCTAAATTTCATCTTTTAAGTTTTTAAGTTAAGTTGTTTTGGGAAAATTTCTCATTCAAATTGGAAATCAAATAATTTGTGTTTACCATTTGAAACCTTTTCATCAGATACCTTGAGATCCTCCATTGTGTTTGTGTCATCATTGTCAGAATTTTATATTCCTATTCATAATCATGGGTTGTGCCTTCACTAAGAACCTAACCAATGGTTCAGGATGTAATTCAAGTGTACGTGCTAATAATAAATCAGGAAATGTGTCCAATAATCCACTGGAAGTGCCGGAACCACCGCCACCCGATCCAAGGCTTCCCCTGAATGCCAGGCAAAAGTTTCAAATAACCAAATCATGGAAAGGTATTCAAAGAGCCATGGAACCAACCGGAGTCTCAATGTTTATCAAGTAAAAATTATTCTTCTCTCTCTCTTAAACAAAACAGAAAAAAAAACAATTTAAATACAAAGAGAATTACAATTGAATCGATTTAAACATTTATCTATTTACTTTTCAATCAATTTATGAAGCCGAGTACAGAATTTATGTTTTCCCTCCTTTGTCATAATTTTCAAAAATTCTGATTGTTCAGTGGTTTTTTTCCTGCTAAATTCACAATCAACATGATGATGAAGATGATTATTATGATGATCGCCATGAAAATTACTCCAATAATGACGCATCATTTTTGTGATTATCATGAAATGATGATGATTATTCAGAGTATTGTGTGTGTGTATCATGAAGAGACAGAATAATATTATCATCAGATTATCTATGAAATTTTCAATTTCATATTCTTATTCTCTGTTTGCTACTCCCGTTAATTATCATGATTAACACGAGAAAAAGATATTTACTTAATTCATACATGTAATTGGAAGAAAAATTTTCCCACACTTTATCTCTTTTTCTTTAATCCTCTTCAAGTGATTAAGGTTTATCATCATTATTTTCTGATTAGGTTTCAATGGAAATCCGAATTAGGATTCAATTTGTATGAAATTTTTGCTTCTTCTGGTTAGATTAACAAAAAAAAAATACTCTCAAGTATAAACTTTAAGGGATAAGGAAGATGATGATGGAGGAGGAGGTTTAGTGATGATACTGATGATTGAGGTAGATGATGATGATGATGATGATGATGATGAAAGTAGCAGGTTGAATATATAAGAATGAGGTTTGTTAGGAGTGATGATGATAAAGATTATCATCATCATCTTACACTTGAAAGAGTTACTATCATCAGAGTATGTGAATCAGTCCACAAAATTGATTTAAGATGACAAGAATTACTAGATTACGTCATTCACCACCATCATCATGAACAAAATCATTATCATGATGAAAATTCAGAGAGATGATGAAAACTGTTTACAGTTTAATGCTCATGTCGTTATTATTATTACCATTGTTGTTGTTGCTGTTGTTACCATTATAAAGACCATATTATTTAGTTTCACATTTCATGTTAGTTTGATAATTAAATTGTTAAGCTTGATTAAGTTGATCACAATGAATCTGATTCATTTTCATGAAATCCAACCATATGAGCCATGAAACATCAACATGACTATTAACATATCAGCATATTTCTCTCTCTCTCTCCCTCTCTCTCTCTATCTTAATCTCTTAATCTCTTCATTAAATTCACTTCCAATTTCTAATTCTATCAATTGTGAGTTTCCATTGAATTTACCTGAGTTTTTATCTGATATGATTTTCAACACTGAGTTGCAACAATTTTATTCATGGAAATGACTCTTGAAATTATTGTTATTACTATTCAATTACCAGTTAAGAGATGATGATGATACATGTAATTATCATGATTTAATATGATTTAGAAAAAAAAACCTCTACAAATCTGACGAATTACATTAAATTGTCTTTATCAGGTTAACGAAAATTTTAGTTACCATTAGATAAGGTGAAGGAGAAAAAAGAGATTCTCAAGATGAAGATGAAATTTCTATTCATGTTATGATGATGATGAAGCTTTTTATCTTCTTCATCTTCATCTTCATCTTCATGATAATCATGATGCTTCGACTCTGAGATATTGTTGATGATCATCAGGAGTTTATCTGAATTCTGAAGATAATGTTCAAATTCTGATCAATTGTTTTCATTGAATCATGAAAATCTCGTTATCTCATGATGAGAATTTTTTTCCTCTTCTAGGAACTTGAGATTTTCGTCCTTCTTCACCTCCTCCACTTCCTCAACTTCCTCCTCTTACAATATCTCCACCTGAACTACAACCACCACCTCCTCCATCACTATTAGAGAAAAGGAAAGTGAGTTGGTTCTATGAATCATGAGGGTGGTGTAGGATTTTCATGGTGGCTATCGTAGTAGTGGGAAGTGATTATCTAAACATTAACATTCATTATCTGTTTACCTGGATTCTTCGAATCAAATTATTCTGATTCTTCAATTACTAGGTAATATTATATCCAACAAATAGCCTGAAGGTTTGAAAAAGAGGAGAAATGGTAAAGTAAAATAACAGATAAGATGAGGATGGAACCTGAATAAACAGCAAAAAAAGGTACATTTAGTTGAGAAGGAGGTGAAGGTAGAGGTGGATGAAGATAATAATATTGTTGTTTCTGTTGTTGTGTTACTATTGATGATGAAGAAGATGATGATGATCATCTTCATGAACAACATTTAACATGCTCAGGGTTTATCCTGAAGAAGCCAGAAAAAAATATCGATTGAATCGAACTTTTTTTCCGTAGAATTTTTTTTTCCTCTCTCTCTCTTTCTCTCTTTATTTTTTTCTCTTTCACTAACGATTCTTAATCTTTTTGTTCATAATGACGATAATGATGATGATGATAATGAAGATACGCTGAAAAATGAGACAGTAAATATATTCATCAGAATTCCAGGAAAAAGAGAAGAAAAGGAAAACTGAAATATCTCTTGATACTCTTTCTGATTCTGTAACTGAATCAATTCATTATTAATGTAATTTCCTATTTATGATATCATGTTGATCTAAATTATTGCTTAATAATCAGTTGTTACTCATCATCATCATAATCATTAGAACTTATTTTGTATTAAAATGATACAAATATTATCTTCCCGTAAAAGAATGAAAAAAGAAAGAAAAAAGTTTTGTTCGAAAATAAAACTTGTAACCTTAAATTTGTTAATTCTTTCTCCTAGTTTAATAACCATTATTGAATTAAATCAATTACTAAGTTGAAATTTACCAGCAAAAAGAAAATCAGGTAATAACATGGAAGAGAAATTATTGATTAAATTGGATAATAAAAATAACATGAGAATAGAAAAAAAGATTCTGACCAAAAGAAAGAAGATAAAAAGTTCTAATCGTCGACAAAAATATAAACACTTCGAAATCAACTATTCTACCTTATCTCTCTCTCTCTCTCTCTCTCTACCTCTCGGGCTCCCTTCAATCACCACCACCCACTTGACACTTTCTACAAAAAATTGTGATTAACATTAATTATTATGATTAACCTGATTCTTGTGGAAATTAAATGTTGTTATTGACAACAGTTAATGTTGATAATCAATAATCAACTTGGTGTTAATCTGATATCAGTGTTTATGACACAATGGAAAAGCAATTTTTATCCTGAATACGAATTATATTAATTCTTTTCGATTCTTATAACTGAAATGTTTTCTTTTCGATTATTAAATACTAATTGGAATGTTCTATTTTACTCTACTTCTCTTCGATCAGATTATTCGAGGAAAACTCTGAACTTCTTAATCTTTTCACCAAATTTCAATCATTAAAAACCAAAGAATCCCAAAGAGAGTCGATGGAATTGGCTGAACATGCATCGAAAGTAATGACAACCCTTGACGAATCAATTAATTCACTCGATAAGGTTGACTTTTTTATGGACTATTTACACGCAATCGGTCGTGATCATCGTAAGATACCTGGTTTCAAGAAGGAATATTTTTGGGTGAGTAATCATAATAATCATCATGATGAAGTTTTCCATGAAAATATCTCATCTTTACCACACCTTGAAAGTCTTTGTGAAAAATGATCACATCAAATGTAAGAAAGTAACGGTAACTTTTTTTTGTTGAATTTTCATCATCTTGATCATCATCAAAACAATTAACTCGATTATTATAATATTTGAATTTTAATTGTTTCACTTGTTATCTTCATGATTAATCATAGATATTCACTTTATATATTACACGTACAATCAGTTCATCTTCATAGCAGAAAAAAAGTTCTGATAATAATTTTTCTTTTCTCATTTAATATGAGGAAAAAGTTTCCTTGCAGTCTTGTTATCATGTTGATTGCTTAAATTAATTAATTGATTGTCATGGTATTTATGATAATTAGATGACGATGATGAGGATAATGGTCATTTGTATGATAATATTGCAATAGGTAAGTAAGGTTGTTACACTTATTACCTTAATCACGGAAATATTATCATGAAGAAAGGAAAAGAAAGAGAGAAAAAGTTCTTGGATTGAATGAGAAACTAGTGTCAACATTATCATGACAATATCATGAAAAAGAAGATGATAATGAAAGGAATGATGATATTATCCCTTTGGTATCAAGGAAGATTGTATCATGTATATTATTAACAATCAATCTGATTAATAGTGAATAATAATATGAAAGACATTGAGTTAATGGAAATACTTAATTATCTTGTAAATATTATCAGAGTTTTAATCAGAATCGCAATCAGAATCATGAATTACGAGAGAGATAGAGAGAGCAAGAAATTTTCGTATCAATCTTTGATTTCCTATTTGAAATGGATTCATGATCATGATGAAAAAATTGAATTTGTAGATAAAACTTTCTGTCACCGTCATCACAATAAAATGAACAACAATCAATAAAATCTCAGGTAAACAGTTAATTCAATTCAGTTTGTCAACAATTAGATTAATTTTGTTGGATTTTCCTTTTCATGTTGTCAGAACCTCTTTTTTTTACACTTTTCCTGCTTTTTTTTGGAGTAAACTTAACTCACTTTGATTATTTCCATGGCTCATGGTGATTCTGTTTCTGATGAATCAGGATTCTCATTATAATTAAATGCTCTCTCTCACACTCACTCGCTCTCTATCGTTGACATTATTAATTGAGTTTCATTTTGATTAAAATGAAAAGGTAGGATGAACAAAAAAAGATGTAAATTAATGAGATGAAGTACCAACCGTTTCCTGGTTGTTTTTTTTGTTCATCACAACTGAATCAAGAAATGAAAATAATCACCATGTTGTTTAATATGTTTATTCAGGAATTGAATGTTAATCATGATGACAATTCTCGTCTTGTTGATTTGATTATCATCGTCATTAATTAATCAAATTGTGAATAAATTTTTGTTCATCAATTGAATCATTTTGTATTACATGGTATCACCACAATTGAATTAAAAAAAAGAGGTTACATTTTCAATTGGAATGAAGAAAAAAAAATTTTTCTTCTAGCGTTCAGATTCATCATCAATTCATTCCTTTGAATCTTTTATCAGATTTTTTTTTCCTTCATACTCTTTGCATGATAATAACTTTTTTTACATGGTGATGGCTCATTTCCATGAGATAAATATTAATACAATTGGTTCAATATGAGTTTTACTTACTTTCCTGTCTTTCTCAGTGGGGTGGGTGAATCCTCTTCCACTCTCTCTCTTTTCTATCTCCTTAAGGGTGTAGGGGGAAATAGTCTCATGATATTTATTTAATGAAATTCTGGCAACACCATGATAATTTTTCAGAATTAAAGTATAACCTTAATTGCTTTGATTTAATAGTTACTCATATTGAGGTTGACATTTAAATGTTAATGTTAATCGTTGATGTTAATTGATATGAAATCTTGTTTGTCTCTTCACTTACCATGTAATTCATTCATTAGGGTGGAACAGAGAGAGAGAGAGAAAATTATTATTCGAATAAATAATTTTTCTCTTCTAATGATTGAATTGAAAAGTTGCACTTTCAGGGGAATATGTTTAACATGAACCTATGAACTGAACTTTTTATCATCATTATTAATCGATAATCATTCAATATCATGATAAGAATTTTCATCTCAAGTCAACTCAAGGATGATAAAGTGGGAGATAGAGTGAGAGGGGAAATATCATCTTGATCATTTTTTCAGAATCAATTTTTTTTCTTCTCTTCATCATCACCATGAATGTTTTGAAAAGTATGAAGATGATGATAAAGATAAGGTTGAATGATAATGAAAAAAATGGAGAGAAAAAAACACAGAAAATGAACTTTGCTGAAGTTTCTGTTTATTTTCAAGATTCTGATGTTTAGATGAAAAGGTTTCAGATGATGATAAGCATGATAAGCATGATAAGAATGTGAAGATGATCCTGGAATTAAAATCAATGGAGGTTTACTGAAGGTGGAGGTGGAGGTGGTGGTGGAGATGATGATGATTATGGGAGTGGAAAGTGGTAAACAAAAGGTTCTCATTAACTTGTTATTTAATCAGTTGCATCATGAAATTATCTCATTGATAAGCTTTTATCATGATCTACTAATTGAACATTCTGATAACATGATTAATCGCTCAGATTGAGGATAAAATTTTCCTTCTTGTCTAATAATATCTTTACAATATGTTCAATATGTTTCCGGTCTCTGTCTTTATAATCAACTTACATTAAATTAGATTGATAATCAATTGGTGATAAAAATCAGCCATTGAATATATTATAATGATGGTGATAAGCAAATTCAATTGTTTAATTGACAACAATTAGTGATGAAAACACTTAACTAATCAATTTAATCTAGTTTTTGTGTTACTTTTTTTTTTTAAAAAAAAAGTTATCATTAATATTAATAGTAACATTTTAAGTGATAATCTTAATGACTAATTGTTGGTTAAAGGAGATTAACATTACTATTTTTAGTGATTATAATCATTGATCAGATTAAATTTAATCCAGTTACATGTAGAGTAGCCATGAAATTACAACAGTTAATTGTTTAATTGATTTACTTGTATTTCTTTTTACCAACTAACTAAATCAATCAACGTTTTAATTTGAATGAAATTTTTTCTTCACTTCATCTCTCTTATAATGATGATGATGATGATTATCCTTAAGATGATTACAAGGATGACAAGGAAAGAGAGAGAGAGATGAAATTGACTGGTATTTATATTTATCTTGATATTATCCACCCTGAGCATTCAGTGGGAATATAATAATACCCAGTGAACAGGAAAATGACATTATTCAGCATTATTTTGATTCTTTGTGTTGTTTTTTCATAGATGATGAGGATGAATGTAAAAAAAAGCTGTCGAAAGCAAGATGAGGATAAAGATGAAGATGATGAGGTAAATGTTATTTATATAAAGTATTTTATTTGCCCTCCCTGTTAAATCAAATAGTGATTAAGATATAAATGGTTACCTTGAAATCATTGAAACTGAATAGAAGTTAATTATCGGCAAGATATTTATCATGATCACAATTTTCTTGATATTTTTTTTTAAATTCTTTTCTTCCTGTTTTTCTAAAAGATAAAATTCTGAAAATTCCAAACTGATAATTTATCCTCTCTTATATTATTCTTTCATGGTGATACTTAACAATTCATCCAGTATCTTATATGAGTGAGAGAGAGAGAGAGAGCCTCATGTTCATGATGATGTAAGTTATATTTCTGACAAGTTGATGATGATATTCAACAGGAATATTCACCCATGGAGGTAATTTGAATATTTTGTCAGAACTTTTTTCCTCTTTCTCTCCTTCTCTTACTTTAACTCGTGTAATACAATTTCCCATGATTATGATAAACTAATAATAATGTTAGATGATAAATTTAATTCAATTTGAAACATCAAGGTGAATAAGAGACTGAATTTTTTACATATTCATCTGGAACAATAATCATGAAGGTGTAATAAATTACAGTGTTTCAAAAGACGATCATAAATATGGACTCATTTTCATCAGGCTGATCAATTTCATCATGCTCATGTTGATTATTATTATTATCATGTCAGAACTTGTATCATGAAAGTGGGTGGAAGGGGAAAAAGATGAAGAATATTTTAGAAAAAGTTGAAAATTCCAAATTCTTTTTCGCTTCCTTCTCTCAGGATACATGAAGAGTTACCATGTATTTCTACCCACACCTTATCCATTGACGATGATTAATCCAGTTGAACTAAAATTAGCATCTCTAGTAGTAGTAACCGGAAAAAGGAAGTGGGTAAATTTGTTCCTCCTCCTACTTCTTGTAATAAACATGGATAACAAAATTTGGTGATAAAAATGAATCAAATTGAACTTTTCCTTGACAATTTTCGTATCTCGTTCACTTTCATGAAAAAGTTTTGAATATTATTTTTGGCTGTTGGTTCTGACACAATTCGGGGAGAGAGTTAGATGAATTCGGATTCTGATTTCATGTTGACTTACATGTATGAATCTAACTTGTGTTTCCCTGTAATCAGATAAACCCAGAATTCTGGGTGGAAAGATTTATCACTTTTCATGATAATAAACTTGAATTCTGAAAATTTCACCTAAATTTCCAGAGAAAGACAAAGAAATTCTTTCTTTTTCTAGTGAGATTGTATTCATTATTAATTTCATAAAGAATTCATTTCATAATGACAACAATAATTAAAGATGATTAGCTAAATCATCATCATCGATTAATGTGATAATCAATGAGAGCTTTTGTCTCAATGTTAATTATCAACTTCTATCACAGTTTTACCGTTAATCTGATTGATATTAATTGTTTAACACGAAATAAGTCAGAAAATTAAACAACATAATTGATTGATTGTCACAAGAACTAAAATTTACAAACAAATTTTACCGTTACAATTAAATTATCTCTTACAACTTGAATGGATTCGTTACCTTGACATGTTATTAATTTTTTGTTCCAAGTTCAATGTTAAAGGTTGGAAACTAATTAACTGATTCTCTTAATTGTTTCGATTTTTTCATCTCATCTAATCAAACAGAGGATTGAGAGGCCATTTTTGACCGCCGTTAAGGACACACTCGAGGATAGATACACCGAGAACATGGAAAACATTTATAAAATAACTGTACATTTCATCCTCGAAACTTTGATTGCCGGTTACGAGGAAGCGGAATCGGAAGATGTTAATAGTAACACTAAACAATTAGAGGATAATCAAGATGCTACAACGTAACAATTAGATGAACGAAACTTTTTCCTTCTTGATTCTCATGGATTTACAAACAATTAACTCTGATCAATTTACGTGTGTAAGGACAAAGTGTTAACTGTTGTAAATTGTTAATCAGTCAATGAGAGTCAATGTTTCAATCTAACAATTTAATTGGATTACATCTTACAATTTTCTAGTGTAGATGTTAATTGTTTTGTTTCTTCTCATTGTGATTCAACTTGATTCAGTTCTGCTTAATCACCATCATCATGATACATGAGGATTATTGTATCATCATCAGTGTTTGATTTGTTTCCTTCTGGCTAATCCTGGTTGATTTAGAAAAATTTATAAACAAAAAATTGATTCGGTTAAAATTCAAATCACAATCAACAATCAGAATCATCTTGTAATTTTAATCATCTCCTCATCAATATAAATATATTTATCTCATCAAGGGTAATTGTTAATAGTTTATCAAGAGCTGCCCGTTAATTGTAACATTACAATATCTTAATAATATTGAGTTAATTAGCTTTAATTGTTGACCCAATTAGTTAAATAATAATTTCCAGATTCTTGGTGCTTCATATTGATAATTATATAAATCATTTCATTCATAATTTAAATCATCAACATCATCATCAAGCTCAAGCAACAACAATTTGTGTTAATTATCACCACAAAAAGAAAACAATTTACAACAGAAAAAGAAACAATTAACTGGATTAATTAAAACTAAACACTAATCACACAATCGACTTGCGGATCATCAAAATTAATCATGACCGTCCATTGAGCTTAATCAACAATTAGTTGATCTATGAATATAAGGAAAACGAATCAAAATTAACAATTAGCTCTAATTGTTTACAATAAATTACACAATTCACAAGTGAAAGCCAAACAAAATTCAACAAATCTAATCAACAATTAAAAAACTAATTATTGTGTCAAAAGAAAAAGTAACAACCAAATGAAATATTATCTTTTAATGAACAAACAACAGCAATTAAATTACTCTCATGGTTATTACTAAATTGTCATCGTTATAATCATCAAGGTTTGATTGTTGTTCTGTGAATGTTAATTAAAACCAAAAATCCATGGGAATCAATGAATGAGAAATGAAAAGAGGAATAGAAGAAAAAAAAGTTTAATTCTAAAAAAAGTAAACAAAGAAAATCGAATTTCAATTGATGAGAATTTTTTGTTTTCTTTTTCGCATCCAAATAAATCTTCCTCATCTTCATCATGATCATTCATTCAGTTCAATATTCAGGATGAAGTCAGAATTGTGATAACTAATAATCATGAGAAGTTTATTCATATGGAATCGAGATCTTTGTTCAGAACTTTTTTTTTCTTTGCTCAGAAATTTTTTATCGAATTTTTTTCTTCTCTCTCATTCTCTCTCTCTCTCTCTATTTCTTTTCAAGTTATCATCATGAAATCCTCTGAATTGTCAGTTAAATAAACAGTTATGAAAACTGTTGAAAGGTTAGTAAACAATTTACAGAATTGACAGAAAACAAATATTATGAATATCCAACCAACTTTAAAAAATTTTTTCCTTTCTGTTAATTGTTGTCAGTCCATTTTCATCATTAACTTAATTGTGATCATTAAATTGATTATAATTGATGTTAAATTGCTTCATTTCTTTCCTTTGTTTACTTTTCATTCATTAATCATGATAATTAATCAACAATCAATTTCGGTTTTCTTTTTTCTCAATCTAATCAAATCTCAAACTTTTCTTTGCTTAATTGTGTTGATACAATGATTCAGATAATTTAACAACATTATCGTTTCTTTTTATATCTTAATTATGTAAATTGTTTCACCATAAATCATGTAAACATTAACATCTCTCTCATCTAACAATTAAACAAACACAATATGTACAATTAACTGATTATAATCAACTGTATGTAACACTTAATATATCAACTGATTAAATGTAAAACTTGTTGATTAGTTTTGATTAACATTTACTTTCATTTCATATACTCAATTGATTAACTTTTTTTTTTCGTCCACAATTAAAGTTAAATTGTTGACCGATTGATTTTTACATGTATAAGTTAATTAAATGAACTTTTAATTGTTAAGGTTTCCACAGTTTAAATGGCCTCCAATGAATAGTAATTAACTATTCAAACTGTTATGAATATCATAAAGTTTCATCAACCAATTGTTAGATTTTCAGATGATCACAATTAATTACAATTAATTGTTACCTTGATTAGTTAAATCACTAAATTAAAAATTCATTTGAGTTTATCTTTGTTTTTTGACAATTTTTGATTCTGATTGTTAATTAATTGACACTTGGCTTTTATTAAACACTTGGAAACTAATTAAAAGTTAATTAAAACCTTATTTTGATTTACTTGTTGATAATAAAATAAAATAACAACAATTAGTTAATTGTCGCTTCTGGAAGTTGTGTATGCGTGAGTGTTAATTATCACATTGAATTAATAAGCAATTATTGTTGTTGTTTGTTTTCTGAATCACAATTGATTTTAAATTAATATTATTAACAAAAATATATTATTAATTTGTGTTATTAATTATTTGACAATGATATTAATTGCTCTAATTGATTAGGTGGGTTTTCATTGGACTGAGTTAGAGACACTGATGATGTTTGAGATGAAGATTGAGCCTTAGATGATGATAAAGACGATAAAGATGATGGAGCTTTAATTGTTTCGGTTAATTGAGTATCCATTGGAAGAGCTGAAGGTAAGGTCAATGATTTATTCAATGAATTTGATAGTGTTTCCGTTAAAATATCATCGATAGTTGTATCAGCGGCGGTAAGATAGGCATTGAAAGCTTTAATCGGATCATCCATTGGTAACAATAAAGATTGTAATCTTTGTTGATTAGATTGATTATCGTTAATAGCTTCTGGGTTTTCTTGATTATCCTTTAATTTGATTATTCCACTGGCACTATCACTGGTCGATGTTGATTCACTACAAGGTTGATCAATAACTGAAATATCATCTTCATCACCGAAAGCGTCAAAATATTCATCAGCATCGGTCTCAGAAAATGTTAATCGTGATCCTCGGCGAGCGGTTGATTGGATCAGGGAATGTTCAAATTCATGGTGTTTTCTGGCCAATACTCGGAGTGATTCCTCGAGAACTCGAACCTTCTCCTGGTCCCGTTTAGCGAATAATTGTCGAAGTTGATCTTGTTTGGCAAGTAAAGCGATACAATCGGCCAGGGAAGCGCTTGTATGACTTCCGGATTCCATTAGGATGTTGAGGTGAAATTTAAGAGTAGGCCAATAATTTTTCCACTCTTTATAAAGCTCTTTGGAAGTGGAAGAAGAACTTGACCCACCACCACCAGCGGAAGAAGAGGTACCACCATAGAAATAGGAACCAAAACCTTTCGATGGCGGTGGCTCAGTTTCGGCTTTATCACTATCGATTCGTAAAAATGCCATATCCTCTTCGAAAAGTTGAACTAGCGCTTTAATGTGCTTCTGAAAGATACCAAGATGAGCTTGAGCTGAATTAATATGAGGTTGAACAGATTGAGTTGAAAGAATCTCTCTTAATTCATCTTCTCCGTCATTATCAACTCGAACTCCATCTTTAAGAAATTTGGTCGCATAATCAATATGATCGGTAATCGCATTGATCCACTTTTGCCGATCAAGTGAAGTGTTTGAGGTAACTGATGATTGTCCAGTTGACTGAGGAACAGCAAGTACAGTTCGAGTGTTATCAGGAAAGAAAATGGTAAAACTATTCTCATCTTTAGAATTTGGTTTGACTACAGCTGATTCCAGGTATTTGTAACCTCGTCTTTTAACACCGGTACTTGCATCAGCGAGGTTAGAGAAAAACGAGAGAACTCCTCTTTCCAGAACAGCCCAAACATTACGTCGAACCAGAAATTTACCTCGACGAGCCAATGGCCCCTCAAAACGACTGATCATACATTTGGCCAAAGTTTTTATGTTCATATTGAATGTAACTGGTTGAACATTGAGAAGTAATTGTTTTATGTGGACCGATGAGGCCAAAGAAGATGCGATTCGATCACTGTTATTCCTTATATTGGGATCGGTTCCATTTTGAAGTAGGAAGACAACGATTTCCTTATGATTACGATAAGAGGCCCAATGTAAGGCTGTATTTCCAGCTAAATCTTTACAATTAACATTAACCGGATTCAAATCATTAAGCAATTCTTTAACAGTTGATAGATCACCGTCTCTGGCTGCTCTTAAAAATTGAGCCTCTTTCCTTTTCATATCATTACATTCAGCAGCCAATAGAGCTTCCAATATCTCAGAATCTTGGCAAATATCTTTCGGTGTTTTATCTTCAGCATTTTTAATGAAAACATCAGCATCATGAGCCAATAAAAGGGTAACTATATCCAATCGACCAACGTATGAAGCTTTATGAAGAGGTGTATCTCCTGAATCGTTGATCACGTTAACGGAAGCCCGATGTTCCAATAAGATTTTAACCACCTCATAGTGACCAAAATAACAGGATAAATGAAGGGCTGTCCATCCATGATTGTTTTTCTTTTTACCTTTACAATCAATATTCAATTCAATTGTTCCACCTTCTCGAGATGATAATAGCTTACGGACCATTGATAGCTCACCATTTCTAGCATAATATAGAAGAAATTCTTCTCCATTTTCCAGATCTTCTAGCTCATCAATATTGACACCAACTTTGTTCCCCTCGTCATCAATGTAATAATAATTTTCCTCCAAAGGTTCACCACCAGAACAAACTTCGCCCTCAATAATATCTGAACCATTCATTTTCGATACAGTAAAAACACCGTTGAAACACAAGGAAGAAATAGTTAATTGACGTAAATATTAAAAAAAAAAATTTGATAAAACTCAGTTAGAATTAGAAAGATTGAATCAACAATTTAGTAAACAATCACAGGAATAAAACAAATGTCATCAGAAAGAAACAAAAATAAATAGAATTTATTAATAGTTAACTTACCAAACGATAGATGTCACTTATTTCGGTCGAGTTTTTTTCCTTTTAAATTTAAATTAGATTTAAATCTTTGCAATTAAACCGATTAAATTAAATTAAAAGTCAGTTTAAAATCAACTAATCAAACAGGTTAAATAAGTTCAAGTATTCAATCAGCTGATTGTGATTATTAAAAAAACAAAACAAAAATGAACAAGAAAATTATTCTAATCAAATTATCTTAATAATAATAAATTGAACAAGTTTAACTTTTAGTTTACACTAATTGTTGATCTGGTTAGAGAGGAGAAACACTTGGCAATTTAAAGAAATGATTAAAGATTTCGGTTAATTGATTAGTTATAATTAAAGTCGAATGAAAAAAAATATCGAATTGATAAAATTTGAGAAAAGAAGTATTAGTTCAATGGTCGAACACTAGATGTCACTAGAAAAAGAATTTTTGTTTTTTCGGTTAAGACCAAAAATTCATTTGAATGATTGAATTTTTTTCTCTCGCTTGTTATGTTTATATTTCTCTTTGTGATTAATTGTAATCATGGAACCGGTTAATTAGTGACCAATTTTAATAGCCGATCAAGTGTCTTTCTAATTGTGTTAAAATTAATCTGGTAAATGTTATAGTGGATGAGTAATGTGAGCACTTTATTGGTGTTGGTTACAAGAGAAACAACTGAACTGAATTGAATTTCCAAAGGAATAGAATAAATTTCAATTTGAATAATTGTAATTACATTGGAATTTTCTTCAATTTTGATGGCTTTCAATCCTCAACGATTACCCCCTCCACCTCCACCTCCACCGCCACATGCTCCATTTCAATTGATTCGTCGGCGAGATGCTTACCTACAGATCACAAGGCCTTCCTTTATTACTCTTCCCATTCAACATGCTCCAGAAGAATCATCAACTTTAATTTGGAAACTTTTGTCTGAATCAAATGCATTAACCCGTTACGATGATCCTGATTACTATTTATTTTCACGTTATAATCAAACAATTTCCATCACCCAAGAAGGACCAACGTATGTGTTGAACTTGTAATTTTCTCATCTTTTTTTTTATTAATCTGATCATCTCTTTATCCTTAATTCCCTTTTAGATGTGGACTAGTTGCCTTAATGATGGCATTGGATTGTCTTGGAATGTCAATACCAGATTTAAGTCAAATTTTACCAAGAGCTAAACAATTGGGCTATACAAATCATGGAGAAATGTACTCAGGTAAAAGTTGGAACAAATTTTCACACCTTAAGCATCGATAACAATGTTGAAAGAAAAACTTATTACTTTTTTGTATTCTTTTCTTATTTAAAGCTCTTAATCTTAGCCAACTTGTCGGTTATTTGGTACCCAATGTTCAAGGAATTCATGTTAACAATTTATCTGGACGAAAATCTCAATTCATTGAACATTTATCTTCAGGATGGCCAATCTTAATTCCTTACGATTCTGATCGTAATCATTATCCATGTCAGGCTAATGGTTATCATGCTCATTGGGCTGTTATTCTTGGCTATTGTATTGGAATGAAAAAGCCTAAAGAGATGAATATTGATAAAATATTATCTCTCTGGGAAAAAGATTCTTCTCACCCTAATTTGTATCACTTAAATTCACCTGATGATGCTTATTTATTGCGAGATTTTTTTAACACTCTGTTAAACAATTCATCGCAATTATTTCTCTATGCTAAACAGGGTAAAAGTATCAAGGTTCGTCTATTTGACTTTGATCAACTTCTCAAAAGTAATCATAATCTCCACTCAACTGCTCCTTATTCAACTCGAGATTTACTAATTCCAGAAGGTGGAGTTCGAGCTGGATTAAGTGATCAAGCCATTTTAATTAAACCAAAAAATGTTTGATCTCATCTCATTTTCATACCAACTAACAATTAACAATTAACAACGACAACGACAACAATTAACGTTAAACTAACTACTACTACTACTACAACTAAATCAACTCATGTTTAATATTCCATTAATCAATGAACGAGTTCATTTTTGAATAAAAATAATTTAAATCACAGAAAAAAAAACTTTTTCATCGAAAACAAAAAATTCAATCAAAAAAACAAAAACAATTGAAAAAATTGAGAAAAGAAAAAAAATGATTAGTTGAATTACCGAACGTTAGATGTCACCAAAAAGCGAATTTTTTTTCTCTCTATTTCGGTTCATATGAATGTGAGAAATTAAATTTTTATTTCTTCTCGTTGGTATTTTATATTCTTGTGATTAATTGTAATTATGAAACCGGTTAATTAGTGTCCACCTTTAATTACCAATTAAGTGTCTTTCTAATTGTGTTAAAGTTAACCTGATAAAATGAAATAGTTGATAAGTGATGCGAGTATTTTATTTGGTTACAAAAGAAACAACAACAACAACAACAAGAATCAAAATATCAAGAAAAAAAGATTGATGAAAATATTAATCATCTAATTAATGTGATTACAATTAAAGGAGAAAAAGTAACTCATCGTTAGGAAATAATAACCTTACCACAATTATCTAAAATCATCATTGATATTCTAAAAACAACATCACCAGCAAGAAGAACCTCAATGAGATTGATATTCTAACATATAAATTTATCATCATTCCAAGAAAAAAGAAATCATCAAACAGTATCACCATTATAAATAATATTTTCTTTTTATTTTGTTTAATATCTTCTTTTTTCTCTCTCTCTATCTTTATCTTTCTCTTTTACCCTCTTGATTGCTGTTGATTGTTTACCTTATTTTCTTTTGTAAATTTGATTGTTCCACAAAAGAAAAAGCAAAATTCTATTTCAATGGCAATGAATTGTTCATCAGCTGGTGGTCAAGATTCGGTTCTTGGTGGATCCTCTTTAAGCCCTTTAACCATTGGAAAAGAGGATACAGTTAAATGTCAATTTATCACCCGAGAGGGAACATACAAATTGTCCAAGGGTGATAATTGCAGAACCACTGTGGTGGGTTATACTCCACCTTCACCCCAAACCAATACACCGGTGAAATGTTCATTTGTTCATATACCTTCATCTCCATTCAATGGTGATCTTATTTGTTTCAATGTTGGAAAGGAATTATATGTTTGCAATTATAAGGGCATTAAGAAGGTAATTATATATTAATTAATTTCTATTCTATTCTATTCTTCTCCATCTCTCTTAATCTATTCTCTTTGCCTTTGTCAATCTCCATTTTCCACCAGTAATTAACCTGAAGGAAAAAAAATACATCAACTATCATCACAATTTAACTCGATTACAATTATATTTTTTTTTCCTCCATCATCATAACCATTATGATTCCTTATATTCATTATCTTTTTCTTGGATCTCTTTTCACTTTCTCTATTAATATTAATTTAATTCTCTATTCTCATAACAATTTACTTTTCTATTCAATTAATCATCTTATCAACATCTCATCATATTTTGTTCTCTCTCTCTCTCTCTTTATTATTGTTATGATTTATCCTTTTTCGTTTCCATTTCAATTGTAAATACTATTACATCTCACTCATGGTTATAATAATAATAACGATGGAGGGAAAATTTTTTAGCTCTAATTGATTGATTGATGATGAGCGTTTAAATTGCTATCATATTTTTGATTGAAGAAAAGATCATCTTTTCACCGCTTAAATTGTTGATTTAAATGTAGATGAAAAGTATATAACAAATGATGAGAAATTAGTGTAATCATACAAATGAATGATCACAATAAGTAACATGATTATTTGTCCATTTCCCTGAGAACTGGGCAAACAAAATTAACTAATTATTCATGAATTTTCTTGTAATTTCATCTAATTGTCATTTTTTTTTCTTCTCTTCCTTTTTCCTTCCTATGTTGACGATGGTTCCATTGACTGGTGAAACAATTACAATCAACACTCACTCATACACACTCATCAATAATCAACTGATGATTTATCCTGCTTACGATTGGTTTGACAATTCATCTTAATCATAACAATTAGGCAACCGATCTCAATAATCCCATTGACAAGAGGAGTTACAAAGGACTTTACCCAACCTGCCATGATTTTAATCAAGTCAACATTTCCTCTGATTATGTTTATTTACTGGTTGGCCTTTCTGCTGGTCAGATACAATTAATAGATCCAATTAAGAAAGAAATCTCTAAATTGTATAATGAAGAGGTAATTTAATCAATGGGAATACAATATCTACACTTATAAACAAAACATGATTATTGCTTCTGGTAATGGCTGATGGTTAATTTAACTGTTGGACAATTGAACAGTTAAATCATTTTCCAAGGTTAATGTAATTCTGTTGATATTGTTATTCATAAAATGTGTCATTTAGCATTTTCAATGATCATGTTAATCATAATAATCTGATAGAAACTGTTTATTTTCAAGTTATCATCTGAATATAAGAAACAGCCACAAACCAAACCATAAGCAATTATCATTTTGTTTTATAATACAATCTAATTAATTTAGATTAATTCAATGTTTTCATTTCTTTGATATTAAACATCATTATTAATCAACTAATGATGATGTAAATATCATTGTAAAAATGAAACAATCAACAAAGTCCATCCAATTTTCCCAATCACCATGATACATATAAATATGAATATAAATTGTCTTGATTATATTATTACCCTTGAACCAAATTCCATGACAATCTTTCATATTGATTACTTTTAAATTGAGAAAGTCGATAGCAATTAACTAATTGAAATAATGTTTTCTTTTCACAGAGAGCAATTGATAAGACAAAAGTGACTTGTATCAAATGGGTTCCCGGTTCAATGAATCTTTTCCTGGTTTCTCATAGTAGTGGACAATTATATGTTTACAAGGAGGATCTTCCCTGTGGATCAACAACACCCCACTATCAGATGTTTAAACAAGGCGAAGGATTTGCCATTTACACGTGTAAAACTAAATCAACACGTAATCCACTTTATCGTTGGGTAATTGGTGAAGGTTCAATTAATGAGATTGCCTTTTCACCCTGTTCCAAGTACTTGGCCACCGTTTCTCAAGATGGTTTCCTCCGGGTTTTTAATTATGATACCATGGAATTGGTTGGTAGAGTGAGAAGTTATTTTGGTGGTTTATTGTGTGTTTGTTGGTCACCAGATTCCAAGTTTATTGTTATCGGAGGCGAGGATGACCTGGTTACCGTTTGGTCTTTACATGAGAAACGGGTTATCGCTCGAGGTCAGGGTCACAAGTCATGGGTTAGTGTTGTTGCTTTCGATCCATATACAACAATTGTAAGAGATACTGTTGATAATAGTGGTTGTAACGTTCAATCAGCTAATGATGATAATGAAATAACATTAAGAAATGATGTTAATGATTCAAATCATTTACAACCAAGTTCATCAACATCAACAATTAAAACTAATCGTAGTTCACCAATATCAACAAGCGAAACAAATTCAAACCATTTAACAACATCAACAACAACAATTACAACTTATCGTAATACTGTTAATAAATCACCAATAAGTAATAACAGTAATAATAATAACTCAACATCTTCATCAATTATTACTTCATATCGATTCGGAAGTGTTGGTCAAGATACTCAATTATGCCTTTGGGAATTAACGGAAGATGTAATTAAACAACCGGTCGGTCGTTCAAGAACTAGTATATTATTACACAGTCCAACAAGTGGATCTAATCAACAATCATTATCAACACCTTCATCCATAGTAATATCATCATCATCATCAACAACAACAACAGCAACAACAACAACTAGTTCAGGTCATCATTCAAACCAATTAACAAATTGCTCTAATGCGGATAAATGTCAAAATTTACAATCACCATTAGTTACCAATTGTTTATCAAATAACTGTAATTACCTTGATCCTGGAAGTGTTTACACTAATCATGTTGGTAATACTTTAGCACCAACAGCAGCCGTTCACAGTACAAGTAGTAGCAGCGGTGGTTATACAAATAAACATGGAGATGGAAGCGGAAGTGGGATGACAACTTTAACAAAAAAGGAACACAAAAGAAACTTCAGTCTCGCCTCTCGTAATAGTGATAAAAACAGTCTAAATAAAACTAGTCATAGTAAATTAATTGATGATCCAATCAGATTATTAGGGACAACAATTTGTCCTCGATTGGATGAAGTACCGTTACTTGAGCCGTTAATTTGTAAAAAGATTGCCCATGAACGATTAACCTCCCTTGTATTTAAAGAGGATTGTTTTGTTGCCGCTTGTCAAGAGGGTTATATATTTACCTGGGTACGACCAAGTAAATGGGTAAGTTAATTTATTAATTGTGTTGAAAAAAAATTTATCCTCATTTATGTTTAAAGCGTTGATTTAATTTCTAATTTTCTTTTCTTTTTGTTTACCATTTGTAATAGGAAAACATGCAAATCGCCCCAAGTCCAATTCCAAGTATCGAGGAAGAGTCTGCAATGGTAGATGAAAATGAATCAACAGTGGTGTGATTTTAACAATTAACTACAATTAAATCACCAAAGTACTGCACAAACCAATGAAAAAGAGCATTAAAAACAACAATAGCAATGTATCAATTTACACCAGCAACACACATACACTGAAAATCCTTAAATTACCAATTGAATGTCTAAAGTGGATATCATTATATTTAATTTGATTTGGAATTGAACCAACAATTAACAACTTTAATCATTATTATCACTATTATTATACAAGCAATGAAAATCTCGTTTATATTTTATATTTAAAGTGCCAGAAGCTTAAATTGAAAAGCCGATCATCATCATTACGAGTTTGAATTTGCAAATTAATTAATCTTGTGTCACACACTCACATTAATTGGTCACAATAATTAACAAAGAAAACAAAGCAATTGTATAAATACTGGATTAATTAACTGTAAACAACAACAATTCACCTTTTTCACAGTCGATCACAAAACGGATTTTACCACAAATACAATCTCATCATCACCACAATCTCACTCAAAGCAAATTGAAAACAAAATAGCAATCACAACAAGGGAATGTGCTAAACGATGATGAGACAAGGAAGATGCCGAAAAGAAAGAGAAGACAAACCTAAATCATTAACCATCACCATCGTTAATTGTCACAAATTTAAAGGCAAAATTAAATGCTCACACCAATCGAAATGGAAATCGACATGGAACAAAAAGTCGAAACTCTCTCTCTCTCTCATTTCCATCTTCATCTCGATCACCTAACACTCGGGTTGACACATTAAGTGCTTGTAATGTAACAACCCTTGAAGATAATTATGCCAATAAGAAAAACAAAATTACTAAATCATCATCATTTTCTTTTGTAAATTGTAACCTCTTTTTCCTAGTCTTGTTTGATTCCACACAACCACATCTTACACAAAGAGCTCTTGATATTTCCAGATATAAAAAACACTGAATGGAAAATGATTTAATTGTCTCCTTGATTGTTTAAAGTTGATTTTAATTACCTGTCAAATGTCAATTTACTTTTACAGTGTCAAATTGGTTAGGAAAGAAAGTGAAATAATAATTATTTTACACGTCAGATTGATGATTGTTAAAGAAAAGGAAAGGAAAGGAAATTATTGTCATTGTTAATCGTTGATTAGAAAAGTTAATTAAGGGTCAAAAGTATTTTCTTCTTGAGAGACCCAAAGTCAGGGGTTAGTTAATTGTTGTGTTCAAGATGAAGATTGATTTTCTTATAAGATGAAGAGATTATGTCAATTACGCTGTCGTGTAAATCGGTTATCGGTTGTTGATTGAAACATGGAAAAGATTTTTTATGAGCTATTAACAGAAATTGATTATGATGATGATGATTGTTAATTCGATTAAAAAAAATCAAAGGCCTAATAGTTTTTCCAACGATAAATATTTCCAACTGTCATCTTTTAATTTCTCAGCAACTTCCCTCATACTTTGTAATCGTTGTTCATGTAACAGTTTCTCCAATTTATCTACATCTTTGGATACTTGATGATTATCTCGAGCCATTTGAGATAAATTTTTGGTAGCATCTTGAAGAGAATTGGCTATTAAAAACAGAATAACAAATGAAACAATTTAATTGTAAGAAAAATTAACGAAATTTTGACAAAGAGAAAAAAAAATCAACAAAAAGCTAATCGATCAACTACTTACCGGTTGTTTTATTTTTACTTTCTTGAGATGATCTTCCAGCCATAATGATGATTGTGCTCGCCCAAAACAACGCTGCCAAAATTAGTAACAATTAAAAACAATCAAATTAAATATACAAAAACCACAACAATTAAATTAAAAGAGGAAAAAAATTTCAACATTTTTTTTTGTTTACATTTTAACCGACTGAAAACTGTGCCATCTGGTAGATGAAAAGTTAACTAATCACATTTCCGTTTTGAAAGATTTTGTTTTTTTAATTGACAATTAAAGTTAATCAATGTGATTGCATTACTTTGATTGGAATGAATTTAGCACATTCAATTTTTGTAATTAGAAAACATTTTGAATTTTAATTTTCGGAAAAAAGGCGATATTTTGATACCGAAAAACGAGAGACAATAGTAATTGTAACTTAATTATTTAGCTATCATATTAAATTGCACAGTTTAAGTTTCTTGTTAATTATAAATATTGTTTCATTTTTGATAACAATTTACACTTGATTTTACAGCTGAAAGCAACTTAATTGCGTTGATTACAATTTTAATAGTAAAATTCGCGGATTAAAACAGAGAAACAAATTTCCCTGCCAAACAAAAGAGACACATAATTAATTAACAACCATAATTTTGTTTCTTCTTCTGCCTAGTTAATTAAGTTAATTGTGTTATTATATTTGCCATCGTTAACTTTGATCTGATTCCGTTGATTGGTCCATATCTTAGTCGTCAATAACCGTGTTCATCGATGGCTATTTCAATCAGAATACTGATTAGTTGATTGCGATGTGAATCTCTCAATTATGTTGAACAACTTTCCTTGTTTAACAATTAGTTGTAAATTGATTCGTTTCTAGTCAGATTAATCAATTAGAAATCATCATCAATTTATTTTCCATCATCATGTTTTTCTGTAAATTGAGTGATTATTGATTATCTTTAATTCCTCCGTCAACATCAAGGGATGAACCTAATCCTTTGATTCATCATTCCATCATTGGACCAATTATCAATTCGATAATATTTGATTTAACTTCCGCATCCATTGAGAAGATCGATATTTGCTCAAGGTGATGATAGAGATGACAATTGATAGAAAGACAATGATGATAATAGAAAGTATAGAGAAGTAAAGAAAAAAAATAAAATCTTCTTCTCTCTTCTTCTCATTCTCTTGTTTCATAAAACAACCAATAATTTCATGATCATGATTGACAGAGTTAATCCAGCGGAAAGAACTGAGTTCCTCCAGAATTTCATGTGAACATTGATTCCTGATGATAGTCCACGAATTTGTTTAACATTGAAGGCATCTTGAGGTAACGAGGAGTAAAAATGAAAACATCAAACAATTAATTAGATTGTCAACCAGTTGGATACATAAAAAAATGATCATGATTGATGGATAATTAATCCTAAGAAATTAAAGGAAAAAATTCTGGTAAATGATTAATCTTTAACTACCTTCGGGTCCTCTAAATTGGTAAAATGCTTCGAATCCAGTTCCATCGAAACGATCGTTTGATTTAAATGTAATTCGGAAAAAGTCACCATCCGATTCAATGGTTTTCGGCTTTTTCACTCCACAATGTCGGGGTATCTTCCTGTCGACAGTCCGATAATTTGAAAATTCAACATAATCACTCGCGGTTTCGGTAGTACATCTAGAGAATTGATTGGAAATTTATTAATATTAACGATTAGTTAATCGATTGACTGATTAGTCTAAGATAATTACGGTGTAACTCCTTCGATGTCGAAATAAGCAAAGGTGATATGAGCTCGTTCAGATTGATTTCCAAAGAAAAAATAATGACATTCGGTGTCTCGAGGATATTGACCAGGATAATTCGGTGATGTAAATGACCCATTGGAGCGATCAGAGCTTCGAAAAATGAACCCACAAACTGGATAACAATTAAATCAAACAAAAGAGAACAATTAGAAAAAAGTATCAAACAAGATGAGAAAAACAATTTACCTGATTGCGAATCTTGAATACCAGCGGTAATACCAAAATCTATTGGAGGCAATGAAACGAAAACATTATCATGTTTGAATAAAGATTCTGAAAAGTTATTATATTGATTAACAATCGAAACTTTCATTTTATTAAATCAGTTGTCGTAATCATCATCATGATAATCTTACTCAGGATAATATACAACAATTTATGATTAAATATAGTAAAGATTAGTTCAAGAGTAAATTCAAATTAGATGGAAATTACTTGATGGAAAATTCTAACAATCAAATGATTGTTTCTAAAAGGGAAACGATTGATTGTCAAAAACCATCAAAATGATTTGCAGATAAATTAGATTCACTTTTGATGATGATGAAGATGAGGATGGAAAGGAGATGGAGATAAAGTGTGAACCAATGTGATGGAATTGAATTGATAACATTAAGTGAGGAGAAAAATCAGAAAATCGATGAAAAAGATGATGAGAAGAAGATGAGAAGATGATGAGAAGATGATAATGATACATGAGAAAAGATGAGTTGAAATAAAGGATGAAGAGGATGAGGAAAAAGTAACAATCTCTGAATAAGTATCATCATTATCATCTTATGTTTAACTAAATCAGTCTAATATTAATCCAATGAGATTTACTGGGAGTTTTTTTGTTCACCTGAAGATGATGAAGATTAAGAAAAAGATGAAAAGCAAATATTTATATCGGAAAAGAAAGTGAAAAAGAAAGAGGCTTTTCTTATTCTCTTCTTCTTCTTCCATGTATCTTCTTCATCATCTTATCATCATGAAAAGAAAAGATTATCTCTCTCTCTCTCTCTTCCTCATGGTGATGAGAATGAAATTAATTGGATATCCACTCTGTCCATTTACAGTTATCTTTTCTTTATCATCTTTCTTTTTATTCCGTTTCCTTTTCCTCGTCTTTGTCCTCATCATCTTCTTCCAAGTTAATTTCATCATTCAAGGTGAGTGTCCATCATCATCACTAATGAGATAAGTGTGATTTAGATCAATATGTTTCTGTTTCAATTGCTGATTGTTTGGATATATATTTGTTCCCAAATCTCTCTATCTTTTCATTGAAAAAAAAGGTGAGTTCCTAAGACGAGAATCAATATCAATCCATGCCAATTAATTCTGGAACAAGTTAATTTAATTAGATGAAAAGTATCACTCAAGTGAAAAGATTGCTAGTAAAATCAATTGCACAAGTTATCTTTTCGGTTTGATTAGTTATTTCCAATCTCACATATTAATAGCCAACATTTAGCTAATAATAATATGAGAAGGAATGAAAAATCCTCCGAAAATCATCATTAAATCAAATGATGCAAGTTCCATGAGTTTATATTGATTATGAACAGTAATGGCCAGAGAATTTCAGATTTTCTCTGAGAGAAAATATTGAAGATTCTTGATGATGTAAGGAAGAAGAAGAAGAAGAAAAGATTATGATACATAATGATTACGATTACAATGATATAAGAGATGTTTAGAAAAAGAGATCGTTAAGTTATCCTTTGTGTTGACCATAGTTGTCCATTAGAATGACTTTAAGAGTAAAGGTCAACATACACCTATGGAAGTTGTATTGATAGAGAGCAACGATATGAATACGATATTGATTCGACTTACTTGTTACAAATCGATAATCAGCTTTGAACCCTCGAAATTGTTCAAAATTATCTGTACTTTTAAATTCAACGGTCATTGATGGACCGTTGGACATTAATTGGAGAGGTAAAGTGTCCCCACAAAGGTTATCCAGTCGCTCCTTTTGTCCGTTGATTGTTATGAAAACCATAACAACATCAGCACCATCACAGCTGAGAATTGATGAAATTGAGGAAGATGAGGAAAAAAAAAAGAAGATAAATTAACATCATTGATCATTAGGCTCTCTTTTGGAATCATTAACTCAATGGAATCATTATATTGAAAGTTTCTTCAGGTAATTTGTATTTCCATGGGGAGAAAGAAACAAATTACAGTATAAACGTTATGTTCATAGATGAGAATTTGTTTATTATCTTAGTAATACATCAATTTATATCATCATCATGATTAGAAAATGGTGTGATGATTATGTAAAATTGACTTTCATCCTGAACTTTAGTTATTAGAACAAAAGAAAAATTTTCTTTCTCCTTATTAACCACCATGGAAGAGATTAAATGAATTATTTCAAGCGGTAAATGTTCATTCCTATCAAGATGCTCGTTAAAATTAACACAAACACATTTTGTATATGGAAAATATTTCAATCAATTAATCAATCACTCGAAATATAAAAATCGTATGTATCATTTTCCAGGCTCAAGTTGTAATCAGCATCTTCATGGTGATAATAATGTTAATGTTGAACTTATAGCTCAATAATCCTTGGAATTAGCTGAGAAAGATTCTGATCAATAATGATTCATTTTTCTCCATGAAACAAAATGATATTATTCTTATAAATTTCTTACTCTTTAGATGAATCATCAGGCTTGTACACATGAAAATCGGAAAACATTATCTGAACCCTTTCTTTTCCTCGCCCATTGAAATTGTATTTACATTGAACGTTGGCTGGATATGGATTTGGATAATTGGGTGAAGAGAAGGTTCCATTTTTAATTGTATCACTGTTGAAAGTTTCATCGCAATTAACACCTAAAAATCAGGTAATAAAACCAAAAGAAAACAATTTAAAATTTAGCAAATTAAAAACAATTAGAGATCAACATTTGATGTGGAAAAAGATTCAACCTGTTATCATGAGCTCATAGAAAAGCTCATAGATTATATTATGTTACATAAGAAAAGTAATTAATCATTCACAATAGAAACAAACTTACAGTTTACAACTGAATTAGTTGAACTAATTAAAAACAAAATCTTCCATTTCAATTGAACAAATTGTTGCTCATTAAACAAAAAGATAATCAAGTGAGATGGAAAAACGATATTAAGAGAAAACGACTAATTGTCTTAATAGATGGCGCGAATGCTAATGAATCGAAAAGTTAATTGTTATTAATTAGATTATTGATTTTTGCGAAGTGAAAGAAAAATTTTGCTAATCAAATTTATGAAAGAAAAAGATTGTTGTTGTTTTCTCATACAATTTACTATTGAGGAAGAAAATTATTATCTTTTATTTTCTTTTTTCTTCTTCCTTTCAATTCCTTTCACCCAATTTTCGTGAAGGAAAAGTTTAGTTACCTATGGAGAGAAAAATGAATCCACCCTGAATTCTGGTGAAAAAAAAAGATGAAGAAAATTAGGTCAACTAACCTGAACCTTTTACTATGTTTCTTATATACATGATGGAAATTGTTTCTTCAACTTGATAATTTATTCAAGCAGGAGAAAAAGTTTTATATCTTACCCACTCTCTGAATCATTCCCACTCTCACTCCTCATCCTTTACCTCAACCCTGAACTTTTACCCCATTCAGATTGTTATTATTATACATTTACCCTGAAAATAATCTTGAATACAATTAGTTTCCGTGGGAAGGAATCAAAATATATAAATCTAATTTTCGTTCCATCTCAAAATCAAATTAATTATAATCAAAACCTTACGGCTATTTGTCATTACTATTATGATCGTCTAAGTATCACAGCTAAATTAGTGTAAACTAATTAATCAACATTTTTACCCAAAGGTTAATTATATATTATATTTATATACAATTAATTAGCTGATAATCAAACTGATCAATCTAATTAATTGATTTAACTTTCGTCAATTGTCAACTTTTGTTCAGTAAAGAAAAAAAGTTCCAATTTCAATAATATTCATTGAGTTGAAGTTTTTTACTCATTGAGAATCCACATGAATCATGGTGATAATCTGAATCATTGGAAGATCAAAAGTTCTATTTACTTGTTTTCTTTCATCATGTTATCATAATATTCAGATAATCAGCACTTCATGTAAACAATTGATTCTTGAGTCAGAATTATCCCCAAAGGTGTAAAAACTGAATCTGAGTTGAAGAGGGAAAAAGTTACACCTAAATTCAGAGAGTGGGAAGAGAGTTGCAATTGATTGAGACTTTTATTCATGAGAATCGAGAAAAAAAAACAACCTAATGATAATTACTCTCAACGGGATAATCAAGTTCCAATCCTCATGAATTCATCATGTTATCAACTAACATCAGCTGATTATTTACAATCTAAATCGTAAACATAATAAACTCCCATTTCATCAATTTATATACTTTAAAAATCCTCATGAATTTCCAAGAATCAGGAGGAAAAAAAATTCATTCTTTTTATTTCCACCATGAAAATGAATCGTTTTCATCATTCATGATTACATATAAATTCTGCACATTCAGATGCAATTGAACTCTATCATTATTTTCATGATACTTTCACTCCAACGTAATTGCATGTAACCCAAACAAATTCAGAATTCAGTGAAATCCACCATAAATTCATTCACCTTGATACAAACTAACATGTAAATAACATTCAGGTAAATTGTTAATCAGCTAAAAACTTCAACTGAATCAAATTTATCCACATGAATATAAACATATCAAGATAACAGTTGAAAACCACCGTTAACCTGAGCTTACCCACCGGTGGGTAATTCAAATCACCCTAACAAAGTGCTCATAACTTTTAATTTGAATCCAAATACTTGATCTTAACTTGAGTGAAAAAAATTGTAAACTTAATCAAATTTAACCAACAACAACAACAATTTGAATTGGCCACTCAATCCAATTAATTGTAACAATCAAATTGAATAACTGAATCGTATGTTTAATGGACAATTTAATTTAATCCAATTTCTTTACTCAATATTTGATAATCAAGTTTAAATCTTTCCCGTCAACACAATCAACAAATTTAACTTTTTTCAACAATTCAATCAACTCAACAATCATATTAATCTACATACATGATGAATATTGAATCGTATTCAAGATAAATTATCACCAATTTACCAACAATCATCATGGAAATAAATAAGAATCTTTTTCTTTCATTAATATTAAACTGAAATTCATACTATGTAATATCATGGATTCATGGAGGAATATGAATTCAACCCTGGAAACTTTTCCCCAACTGAGTATTCAGAGGTTGATGAAAATTCTGAGTAAATAGAAACATAAATAATCAAAATTTCATGACTAATTTTCCCACTGCAAATATCATGATAATAATTCCAGGAATTAACCATCAAGGTGAATGAATACCCACTTCCCCTTTCAGTATTTATTCATTTAAATTTATCCTCATCATCGTCATCACGATTATTATGGTTCAGAAAATATTCAATTTATTAATTTATGAATATAAAGTAATCATAACAATTTAGAACATTTTTTTTACAAATTTAAACTTATCATCTTGCTAATTAAGTTTCGCAAATAATTTTACAATTTAATGATCGATATTAATAAATTTCAATCAAGACATTATCGTAATAATTGTAAACAGTTGATTTAATGTTGTTGTAACAATTAAGTAATCACCAATTCTGATTGATTGATCTTATCTTATATTCAGTTGATTCAGTTGTTAAACAACTGAGTCGGAGTGTGAAGATATAATATTACCCTGAAAATTATTTTCTCTTTCAACAGAACTTCATGTTTCATGAAAAAAAGAAAAAATTTTCTCATATTTCATGATGAATTTATCGTTCTCTCTCTCTCTTGAATTCTGAATTTCATATCATTTTCTTACTATTACACCAAGTTCATGGTTACTGTTCATGTGGTGATATTGAATCAAATCTCCCATCATGTTACCTTCATGATCCTCGTTGTTTTCACACCCGAAAATCCTGAATCTTCATGTAATATCAAATAACTTACATTTGTTGATTGATGAAGTGAAAAAATAGTTCCCTCAACTGAACTTTTTGATCCCCACCCTCATGCACCTATCAATTATCACCCACTAGCTTTAAAACCATCACCATGTTACTCTGAATCGTAAGAAGAACCGGAAAAGGAGTTGAGAGTGAAAATGAAAGTATAAATAGATTACCCGGAAATTGAATCAACTTTTTTTCTCCAACAAAGAAAAATAATCAACTAGTTTTCTTTTCTCATGATCAACAATCAGGGGAGATTTTTTTCCAAAAATTTTATCGAAATTGAAATTGATCGTTATTTTCGTTAATCATTTATCTAAATTCACCACAATCCATCAGAAACTAATCAATATTAATTTGATTTTCGCCTTAAAAATGATAATCGATTGTATTTTTAAACACAGTTAAATAATTCATGATCACTTGTGGACAATTAATCAATAAATAGCTGATCAACAATCAATCATAACAAAAAGAAAATATTGATTTAATTAGTCAACAATTAACTTTTGGGTAACTCATCAATTTATCTAAAATACTCCAAACTAATAAATTGAATTTCCAATTAAATTGTTACAATATATTAATTGTTTGATCCTTGAAACAAATAATGTTCATTTGGAAGATGAAATTTCCGAATATGAAATTTTTACTCCATCGACATTTAGTTAACTTTAATTATCTTCCTGAAACTAATTACACTCACGGAACAATTAATTGGTGGTTTTATATTCTCGCCTGGCCTTGTATCGCCTTCGGTACTTTAAAATTTTTGACAATGATCTTGGTTAAAAGTGACCTCAATCTATCAATGTTACTTTCCGATCCGACGGTTAACATGGGAAACGCTGGTTTCTGGTTACTTTTGGTACTTTTCCTGTGGACATTGATTGCGACCATTGTCCGTTACTTTTATTACAAGTCCACTTTTACTCCTCGAATGCAGCACTGGATTCACCCGTTAACAATTATCGAGCATCGGTATAACATTCAAAAGGTTCAACTTCGATTCGTGGTCAACTGTATTTACATTGGATTCCAATCTATCATCATAATAGCCACGATCGCCGGTTGGTTACTCTCAGTCCAAATACTATTTAGTGCACCAATCGGCTACTTTCCGTTGACCTTAATCAACGCGTTGAACACAAGTTTCATCGCTTATATTGTGGCCGCTTGGCAGGTTAACTTTGCCTTCTTGTTAGGATTTTATCTATACTATTGTGGCCTTAGGTTCACAAGACTAAGTACCTTATTCCGACGATCGTTCATTTTAACCTCCGTTAACTGTTCAAACTCCTCCAAACAATCAACTTATAGAAAGTTGTTTGAATCTTTCACTAATAAGATAATCAAATTGTGCCAAGAAATTGATCGATCAGAAAAGTTCTGGTATCCGGTCAATAATACGATCTTTATGGGTACTTTTATCGCCGAAACGATACTTTTGTACCTTATGTTTTTCGCCGAGATAAATGATTCCCTCTTATTAGCGGTCATTTATCTCGGCGGCATTTTGACCGTTTTCTATGGGAACTCCGTCAATTTCATGTCGGGAGTTTATCTCCAACACAAAGTAAGTCATTAATCCAATTGATTGCTCTTAATTGCTGACCTTTCTTTTCTAGTTTGACAATACAATCAATGACCTTAGTAAATGTATCTATTCAGATAAACCGATTAATCCAATCACTAAGATTAGATCATTAATTGTTCTCGATCATTTGATTAATCGTCATCTTTTTATCGTCTATTGGTGTGTCCATGTTGATACTTGGAGCTATTTAAAGGTAAAAGGATAAACAATTTAATCCTTAATCCACACTAATCCATACTAATCAACTTAATCCATTTACTCAGGTTCAACTTGAAGTCGCAATGTTATTGTTACTATTGTTATCAAATAGCAAACGATGTTAATTGTTATAATACTTAACTAACCATCAAAAAATAATGTAAACAATTTAACGGAAATAAACCAATCGATATGATCTACAATCAACTAATTTAAGGGTTAATTCATTTGAAACTTAATTACGTCAAAAATTAATTACTTTGATTAATTTCAACTAATCATGAACAGCTAATTAGTTTGTTTAATTTTATCCAAAAAAAACAATAACAAAAACTGTTTAATTAACACCCAGATCAAGTTAATCACTAATTAGTGATCAGGGAGACATAATTACAATTGTATTCGGGTGAGAATTGATTAAGATTGTGTAACAATATAAAAGTAAACAAATAATTTAAGTTGATTATTGATGAATAATATTTTCTATTAATATCGATTAATATTCTTAATTCAGTTCAAATTGAACAATTTATCGATATGAGTTCAAAGTGGACGAAATTTTAACAATTTGATCGTGTGTAATGTAACAATCAACATCTCAAGAGTAAAATTTACTCAACAAGAGCTAAATTGTTATCAATTTAATCATGTTATTGTTTCAAACAACATAAACAAAAAGATTAACAATTAACATGCAAATTTAAGCTTCGATTACAATTTGAAACTTTTCAATTCATCGAGAGACCTAAAAGTTGACACTTGAAAACATTGTAACAAAAACCTCGAGGAAACAGAATGTCAACCCATCCCTTTAATTGTGATTCCATGAGTACAATTAACGGTAAATTATTTTCCAATAGTCGATTAAAGGTCAATTCAAGAAGTGACTATCCGAATATAAAAGTTTTATTCCATCAGCATTTACTCAACTTTGATTATCTACCTCGAACTGGTTACGATCGAGCAAGTGTTTCCTGGTGGTTTTATATTCTGGCCTGGCCAAGTATCGCCATCGGTACCTGTAAATATCTATTTATGGCCATTTTCAAAAGCGACCGAGACCTGATGATAAGCCTTTCCGATCCAACCGTTTACATGGGTAACGCTGGTTTCTGGTTTCTATTGGTGTTTTTCAAATGGTCAGTGGTCAGTACGATTGTCCGTTACATTTTCTACAGGTCAAATTATTCAATTCGATTACAACACTGGATTAAACCATTGACCATTCTTGAAGCTCGCTATACACACCAAGATGACCATCTACAGAAAGTGATCAACTGGACACACAAAGGATTAAAATTACTCCTTTTTTCCGGTACTTTTGCCGCTTGGGGAAATTATGTCTCAATTATCATTGGATTTCCGATTGATTATCTACCGGCAACTCTAATCAATTCAATATTCACCGGTTTTCATGGTTATATTGTCTCAGCTTGGGAGATAAATTTTGCCTGTTTATTGGGATTTTACCTTTACTATTGTGGTCATCGGTTTGCTCGGTTAACTCAGACTTTTAAATCAACTGACCATCGTTCAGTTGAACATGTTAATCTTGATCGAATTAATAATTTACCTTCAATCGCCGTTAATGAATCTCTTTTACTACAATTCATTGATCAAGTGATTAAATTATGCAAAGAAATCAATCAATCTGATTTCTTCTGGTGTCCAGTTAATAACACGATCTTTATGTCCACTTTTATTTCCGAGACTTTGATGTTGTATCTAATGTTTTTCGCAAACGTTTCCGGTCCGATTTTAGCTGTGGTCACTTTTCTTGGTTCGCTGACCATTTTTTATGGACAATCGATTAATTTTATCCCCGGAATTTACCTACAACATAAGGTAACATCTTATCCAATTCGATCGGGATATTTGAATAAGTTTATCGTTCAATTTACTAATTATTTGTTTTGTTCCTTTACAATTAGTTTGATGAATCAGTTAATCAAATTAGACGATCTCTTCATCCATCTAAATCAATCAGTCCAATGGTCAAGATTAGATCGTTAATTGTTCTGGATTATCTTGTTGATCGAAACATTTTCATTGTCTATTGGTGTATCAATGTTTGTTCATGGAGTTACTTTAAGGTGATCAACAATTAACTAATCAAAGACAATCAACTAATCAACTTTTTTAACTGTTTACAGATTCAAGCTGAAGTTGCAATGTTATTATTATTGTTACTTGCCAATAGTAGGAAAAGTTAATCACTCAAGTTACTGATCATTAATTGTGGACAATCAATTTGTTCATATCTAAAGGTATTTAAATACAATTAAATTTTGATTTTGAAAAATCAACTTATTGCTAAACAATTAACTCTTCAAGGATAATGTTTAGTTTAATATCTTTGGATGGAGAATTTTTTTTGCTAAACTATCAAAGTAAAGGAATTGATTAATTGTCTTAATTACTTTTTATCCTGCCAACAATTAGCTTAATTTAATCAATTGATTCTCTTGGAAAAACTTGCTGATTTTGCTTTCAATTTCAATTAAATGTTATTTTCTTGGTTAATTGTTAAGTGATTAATCAAAATCTCTGTAATTACTAAATTAACAATGATTAAAGGTAATACTCTGACAATCTTGTCAAATAATCAACAATAAAAATTTAATCAACTTAATGGTTTGGGTTAACATGTAGTCATCATTTGTAAACATTGTAATCAATAATTTAAACTGAATCAACTTTAATCAACGTAGTAAACATAATAACCTAATCAAATTGATTATCTAACATTTACTTTCAATCTGATGGTAATCAAAATAAAATTAAAATCCAATTAAATTGTGAACATTATTTTCCACTTGAAATAATCTACTGACCATAATTTCCAATTAATTAACTTAATTATGATCATTCAAATTCTCATTAGTACTGATTATGAATCGATAAGAAATTCATTTCCACCTTTTCAAGTTCTAAATTCTGAATTCTGATGATGATCATGATCATCGTCATGAGTAAATTCATTAGAATGAGAATCAAGGTGGAGTGAAAATAGTGAATTCTAAAAGCCTTTAGGTTACATGGACAGAGAAATTATATTTTCATGATTAGTTCAATTACGAAATCAGAATCTGAGAAACAAATGGAACTGAATTTTCCATCTGAAACCCCTGAAGCTTTTCTGAATATTCTTAAAATACTTTATCAAGAATTTTCTCTTCTCATGATAACTCAGAATATGAGAAAATTGTTCATTGTTTAAGAAAAACTTACCATGAAAATGGATTGAATCAACTTTGGTTATCATGAAGATAAAGGTAACAATTGATTTGAGATAAATCCAATAATAAAATAGTAACATTGTTGTAACCGGATTAGAATTAATCTTGTTTTTGGTTTGCAACAATTTGTTAAGATGATTAACAAATGAACAATAACTTTGATTGGAAACTTTAAAAATAATCAACTAGAAGATAAGTTGAGATGAAAAAAATTCTGATGATTTTTGAGTTATCACAATGTTGTAATTCATATGTACAAAAAAGACGATCAAAAATGATTCATGATGAAACTACGAAGCTCATCATCATCATGAGATGAGGAGAATGATGAATTAAGTTGGAATTTTTTGTTCTCTTCTTTTCTCTCTCTCCAGGTAACCATAAACACTACTTAAGAACTTTGGGTGAAATTAGATGAAGATAGAGATGGAGAGAGAGAGAGAACAAGACGATGGATTGAAATTCGATGGAAGTTGGAAAAGAAATAAAAAGTTCTGATTCAATTTTTGAAAGAAATTTGATGATGAATGAGAAAGAAAATAAAAGGTGAAACTGAACGAAAATTCTGACAGATTTTTTTTCGGTTTCTTCCCTTTTTTATCTGGAAACCAGGGAAAGAAAAGGAAAAGTAATTCAGTTGGATGAAGATGAAGATGAAGATTGTATGTAAACATATTTGATTCTAAACTCAGGAGGATAAATCTGATGCTCAGCATCTTCATGAGGACGCATGACAAGCAGCGTATCTGATGAATATGATTCAAGTTCATGGAGAGAAAAATTCAAATTTCAACAACAAACTCAAAAAAATAGATAAACAATTGAAACTGATCGTCAGCTTATCATCATGGTGATGGTTTACTTGTTTCTCCCCTTTGAATTAAAATTCAGATCATATTCAGCATCATGAGTAGTATGGATGAAGAAAATTACTCATGATTTCATGATCATTTTGAATTTTTTTTTCCAAAACAAAATCATCAGATCAATTTGTGAATTCACTCATGATGATTTAATTATCATTTCATTTCAGAAACAATCATGATAATTATTCAGTAAAATGAGTTGATGGGTATGAAATTTTTTCTCATTGACAAGAGGAAAAGGGGAAAACCAAAAGTTCATATGATAAACTCTTGCCTCTGAGTTACTCTAGATGGCAGCAGAAGTTATTGTCAGAAATTCAAATCTGTGAGGGTGGAAGGTGAATCAGTTGGTGAAATGAACTCTGATAAAAAGTTCTGAAAAGGGAAATCCGGTTGAAATGGAGGAAAAATGTTGCTCCATTTCTTGAACCAGAAAAATTGGAAGAGAAAAACATTTTCACAATGGAAATAAAATCAGATGACAAACTAGAAAATCATCAATGACCAGGGGTCAATGGTTGACATGACATACATGATAAACAGAATCAGATAAAGTGCGAGAGAGAGAAAGAAAGAAAAATGTTCATTCTTACTTTGAATCGAAATGGACTGAGCTTCAGACTCGACTTTCCCACCTCCAGGCGAGTCTCTGGACTTTTCTGGTTCTAATGAGTAAAACAGAATTACATTAATAACTGACCGATAGATATTCAATTATCTATTCTTACCTGTGGAAGGGATTTCAAGAGAATTGGTCTGACCACTAGAACCCGGAAATGAATAAGTTGACTCGAAGAAAAATTTCCCTTTGAACCCTTGACCAGGGGCATGACTTTTGCTTACAAATTGAATATAAAGATCGGGTCCGGTTGAGACCAATTCGACAAACGTGTTGGTATTACAAAGCTGACCGATAACCGGACCTGATTGATTTCCTCCATCATGGATATAAATCACATCGGGACTGTTTAGACAACTGTAAGAATATGAAAGCGAAACAATTAGATTGAAAAATTAAATCGAAACAGTTATCGATTTTCTCGATTCCATCTCATCGAATTTGTTTATTAGAACAAAACTTTTGGTACAAATTTTTTCTTTTTTCATGTAATTATCTTCACTTTCATTCAACTCAATTAGATTTAATCGATAGAGATGAATAATTAGATTAACTTATCAATGGAATTAAATTTAATTCAATTGTTTGTATTTTCAATTAACCTTAACAACAAAAAACCATTTGACCGATTATAGTGATTAATGATTAGACTTTCAGAGAGAAAGAGAGAGAAGTTAATTAAGTTAATTGTCATTGAATATGTTACATGGGTTTAACTTTTAATTGTTGAGATAAATTGTTCAATCTAATTACTTATTGACGATTCTAATTGTTATCCGATTCATATTATTGGTGAAATTTAATCAACAACTTTTCAATTTGAAAAGATGTTTAATTTAATTATCGGTGAAATGTTAATTGGCCACAAAATTAATTGGAAATAAAAAGGAAATAATTAGTTAATTAGTTAATTACTTTGGATATTTAATTGATTACTGAGTTAATTTTTTGTCTAAAAAACAAACAGGTAGAGTCACAATTTAACCTTTAATTATCAACTTAATCCATCAACAGTGATCATTATCATTCAATTAATGCATTACCAATATTGTTTAACTATTAACAATTAATTGATTGTCAATTTGTTGTTTAATTAACAGAAACAATTAACTCTGTTTCACTTAATGAATTTTCAAATGTAAGGACGTTGATAACAATTTGATTGATTAAATCTACATGATTAAATTTGATTGTTGGTAAAACAATGTTACCGATTTTGTATTAATTCAACAATCAGGGTGAATCGGGAAAGCGACTGAATATCAGATATCAGAACTTTTCTCGTTTCTTTTCAGAATCGAAAGAGGAAAATTTTCTTACAGGGAAAGAGATTAAATTTCCATGTAATTTATGTGTATCAAATCTAATCACCATGTAAGCTTATGGAATCTGATTTCATGGGAGAAAAGAAAAGTTTTTGTTGAAATCGAAATAAGAAAACATCTAACTTGATATTTGTGATTCTGAAATATTGAACATTAGGAATAAAATTTTCTACGATAACTCAAGGATTGGATGTTTCATTTTGAAGAAAATCAGTTAATTGTTTGATTGTTGTTCGTTGTTTGTGACATAGACCATTAAATGGGATGAAGATGTTGAAAGGAAGAGGATATTGAGTGTATTGAGAATTTTTATCATGAATTACTATTCTAATGAAAAAAGGAATTCAGGGTATTCAGAGAATCACGATAATGCTTTGAGAATACATAATCAATTGGAACTTTCGAATTTGTCTCAAATAGAAGAAGAAACAAAAAGCTCTTAAAAGAGAGAGAGAGAGACTAAGAACTTTCCTGGAAGAGAATTGAACAAATATCATTATCTTTCATGGAAACAACTGAATTTCATTCTCAATTCAATTCTTCGATACAATTTCCTCATCGAATGTATTTTTTTTCTTTGTAAATTGTTGCCTGTTATCAACAACAATTTAGTACGAAATAAACTATTTCCATGATAAAGTAAATAAGGAACAAGTTTCGATTTTTTTTCGAGTTCATCACAATTGAAAACATCGAAATGAATTATTATCAAAACGATGGAAGATTTGAATTCAAGCTTAGCATTTTTCGCTATTTTTTCGTTGAGAAAAATTATCGAGAGAAAGATGATAATTTTCTAATTGCAGCTCGGAAATTTCAATCTTCCGATTTACTCTTGTGAATCGAAGTGATTTGTTTAAGTTAATTAGTTATAATGATTTTCTCTCTAATAATTACTAAGCAGTTGAGCTTTAATTGTAAATTGAATTGATAGACAATAAGTTTAGATGATTATCATTTGGAGTTAAAGAAAAGAAAAGGAAAAACAAACTGATAAAAAAGAGGAAACTAAGGAAAAGGAAATGAGCCAAGCAAGAATTAAGAAGATGGTGATGAAGATTGAATTCTCATGAAAATCAGTTGAAATTCTGTGAATTGAAGGTCAACTGTTAATTCAATTAATCAACTTACCCTTGGGTCTTTTTCATTTTCTAACTGTTTTTAAATCATCATCATCATCATCTCTTTATCTTCCAGTTATTTTATCTTCTTCTCATTAAAATTCCATTAGTATCAACATTTATCTTCCTTTTCTTACCTTTTACCTATTCGATTCAATTACAAATCTTTTCATCTCTCTAGCTTCATCCAGAGACATAAGAGAGAGAGAGAGAAAGTTCATTCATCAGATCTTCACCATGAAGACGATAATAATGATTAAGGTTTTGATTCAACTTTTTCGAAGGCAAAAAAGTATAAAAAAAGTTCTAAGTAAATTCTGAGCTTAATTATTTCATGAGGTTGATATTGTTCAACGAAAAGATAACATTATCTGAAGATAATGGTTCATTTTTATCCTTATAACTATTTCCTCGAGTTGATGATAATGTTCACTGGAAACAATCATGATAAAGTTTTTCTTTCTCATCAATTTTTTTCCTGTTGACCCATTAGTGACCTTGGCTACTGTCCAATATAATAGAAATCAATTATATCAAAAGTTGGTATCTAATGGTGATAAGCAAACGAAGGTTGGATGATGAGGATGATGAGGATGCTGATACATCAAATCAAGGGTAATATGATCAAGAAAAAATAAAAACATCAATGTAATTAAATTGATGATGATTTTTGACAAGCTCATCAAGGCTTAGGCACATTAATATAATAACTTACAGAGTGAATTTAATATCCACCATGTAAGTTGAACAAATCAATCAGTAAAATCCCACCGCCATCATCACCATCAACATCAACATTATCATCATCATCATAATCTTCATCATCTCAACATTTCTCACCCAAAAACAAAACTTTTACACCCAAAAATATCAGATCAGATTGAAGAGGAAATTTCATCTTCTACTCATTTTATCATCAGTAATTCTGTAATTAATTTTATCGATTGATGAATTTATTCATGATTAATTACTCACCTTGAATCACTTTTCTGTAGTCTAATATGTTCAAAGACAAGTTTGACCCTTTCCGATGGTTGACCGATAAAAGTATATGAACATTTGACCCCCTTAGGGTAAGTAGATGGATATTGAGGTGAATAGAATCGACCTCGAGTTATCCTTTCGTATATTACATTAGTATTGTTATTGATTGACGATAAATCAGTTGATTGAATTGAATTATTGCTGTTGATTGTTGTCGATTGTAAACTTTCAAAAATATAATCACAATTTGAATTCTCTTCTAATCGTCCATCCGTTTGAAAAAGTTCTAGAAGAAAAAAATAACAAAGAACAAAACAAATTCGATCAATTAAAAAGTTCTGTAGTTCGTATTATCGTTGACAGATATTCAAATCAAATTCAAATGAATAATAAACTCGTATAATTAAATCCAAATTCTGGATTAATTTGTTGACCTTTTTATTATATTTTCATCGTGATGATTGAACAATCAACCAGAATTTTATTATTCTGAATCAAGTTAATGTTATCTTAATCTATGGAATCAAGAATTCAGTTGTAAATTCATGGTAAACTTATCTAAAGGTATTGATTGTAAATGTGAACTGAAAAAGTAACAAGTTCACATGAAATGATGATAATGTTATCATGTAATAAGATGTAACCATTGGAACAGATTTATTCAGTTGAATGTTTGGTGAACTGAATGATAATATGAAAAGAGATTTCAGATAAGATAAAAGGTAGAAATGACCAGTAAATGACCATGAAACATTATCATGAGATAACAAGATAATATTGATAACATAATATTAGATAGAGAATAGAAAAGTTTCAATTTCGAATTGAATTTTCTGTTCTGAAACAAGAAGAAAGAAAGAGAAAAGTTCTGACAACTTTCATCTCATGTTATCCAACGATATGATTACATTTATCTATCATTGTGAGTGAATTTTATTCATAATGTGCTCAGATATTTTATCTAATACAAGTTAGAACTTTTTCCTCGAACATGAAACAATCGATAGAAAAGTTTTTTTTTCCTCCTCTCATTTTATTCTTGAGAATAATCTATTCCACCCTTAACATTATCATCATCATGGTGATATTCAAAAATGGTAAACATTATAAGTACTCATGGTGGTGATTACGATGTTGAAGATATCAAAATGTTCATTCCAATGAGAAAATCGAGGAAATTTTTTCTTCGATTCTCTTTTGAAAATATTATTATTCTTGACAGTTTTATCCACCCCACTCTCTAAGATCTTCCACCTCTTCTTACTGATCATATGCTTTTACTTTCAATCAACATGATGACGGATTTTGTTTGTAAAGAAGATAAAGAAAATTCTGATTTTTATCTTTTCCTCATCGTCTTCATCAGAATCTGAATCTGAACAAGTTTATTTTGAAAAGAGAAAAAAAATCTCGTTCTAATCGAGAGAGAGAGAGAGAGAGAGAGAGAGATTCGAGATTCGAAAGTATAACAATAACAGAACATTTCCATTCCCTGTTTACGAAACTAAAAGAAGGAAAAGTTCTGACTCATAAGGAAGAAAAATTTTCTTCTTCTGATGTACTTGAGAAGATGAAGATGACAATAAAGATGTAATTTCTACATCAAACTCTGTCAGAATTTTAGAACTAGAAAAAAGATAGAGAATAGAGATTCTTTGAATAGGATAATACTTGGAAAGATGGAAAAAATTTTGTTCGAACAAAATTCCCATGGTAAAGTTGAATAATCGGAAGGGGAAAAGTCGATGATCATGGAAATAATTATTCATTGAATCGACTTATTTAAGAATATTGATTGTATGAGACTGAGAACCTTTCACTTTCATGGATAATTTCATTTCCAATGAACCATGTTCATCTTTTTCATGATGAATATTCTTAATTATCATATCATGAATATCAACAGAATATTCAATCGTTCGAGGAAAATGTTCTAACAAAGAAAGTAAACGAAAAAAAAGTAAATTGTTCTTTTTTCGTACTTTCATGGAGATACTGAACTTGTATATCAGAGAAAATGTTAGAACATGTTCTAGTAGAAAGAGAAATTAGATGATAATGATGATGGAGAATCGAATTCGAACACTGTAAGAATTTGAGTTCGAAAAAAATGGAGAATTTGAAAAATTTCGATTTCTGCTTTTTTCCCCTGGAAATCATGAGGATTCCAATGAATTCATACCTTCAGGTTCTATTGTTTCAAACGATTAAATTGTTATTTACATGATAACTATTTTCTCTCATGATTGTTGAATCTTAATCCAACGATTTATGATAAAGTTCTGAATGAAACTCATGATTGAAATTCAAGTCTCATCATCGTTATCATGAACACTAAGAAATAACTGTTTTTTATTTGTTGCAGAGAAGATGAAAAAAAGGAGGAATCATTTCAATTCTAACCATTATCATGATTCTCATGATATATATCATGAAAAGAATGAAAAAAGTTTCATTGATTTAATATTTTCTTGTGAACTTTTTTTTTGTATTTTCATCATTCCCAATTCATCTGATCACATGGAGATTGTGTATTAACAATGAAAAATTGAATTATCATTCTGATGACAATGATGATACACAGGATTCAATTTCATTCATAGAAATCATTGAATACCATGGGGATACCAGGATAAAATTCATGATACCAGAATAATATCATAATGGTAACATTGAATTTCGGTAGGAAAAAAATTCATTGTCAATAAACTAATAACTTCCAATGGTTACGATTTACATTGTAAATGGTTAAAGACAAAGTGTGATACTAATCAATTGTCACAATCAAAAGGGTGATGAATAAATTGTTCACTCAACAATTAAGTTAATTGTCAGAGAGACGTAAAGGAAACCCCTCAGTTAACAATTAATAACAAGTAATAATAATAAGATCAATCAAATGAACAATTTAGAGTTGAGATGAAAAAAAAACCTTGATGATTAATAATAATCATCATGTGGAAATCATCATGTTGATGAGTTTTAATCATTATAATGAACTTAATCAGTAAAGACTGTTAATTATTAGTATGAATTTTGTGCCCTGAGGAAAATATTTCATTGAAATTAAATTTACTTTTCAACTTGTCACTCTAATTGTAGAGATTAATTAATTGTCAGTGATGATAATTGCTGGTCAAATATAATTTTCGTGTTGATTCAATTATTTACATTAAGGATCAATGATTCAGCTGAGAGAGGAAAGTTCGTAAATTCAATTCGATTGGAACTTTTTTCTTTCTTTTTCTTTTCCATCTCAATACAACTAATGTTTAACTTAGAGATAAATGAGAAAGTTTATCATCATCATCATCGTCATCATCTGTAGGTAACAGGATTAGAGGAGGCGGAAGATAAGATAAAGATGATAATACTTACTCTTGTCGAGGAAACGATAAGTTCCCCTGAATCCGGTATTATTACCATGTCTCCAATCAGAATGAAATTCAAACATAAGGCAAGAATCAGATGAATAGTGAGTTTGTTCAATGTCCACGATTTTACCACATAGAACTTGATTCCAAAGGGTTTTCTCATTAATCGCAAATTCATTTAAATGAAGATAAAGTTTAACAAAATCACCATAAACACAGCTAATTAATTCAAATGAACAAGAGATAATTTGAGAGAGAAAAAAAGAGAAAATTTCATCATTAGTTTATCGTTTAAAGTTCATTGGTTATCATGTCTTTATCTGCCGGATAAGTTATGGAAAATGTTCTGATAGTTTATCAGAAAGATTCATTTTCTCATTTTTTCTGTAAACATTTATCTTTGTGGGAGGATGAGGTGGGTAAAAAGGGTGGAACAGGGGAGAGGGTGGGTAATGTTTATCATCATGTTCCTCAGCCTATCATGGGTTTTGTTTACATTGTTATTATCATTGGGTGGACATAACATCATGTGAGAGAGGAATTATAATCAAACTGAATCCATCGAGGGATTTTAAGCCTTTGTCTTGGATTTTTTTTCCTTCATGAGGATTTTCAGGGGAAAATGATGAGGAATAATTGAGAACTTTCTCACTTTCTTTCTTTCTCTCTCTCTCTCTCTCTCTCTCTCTCTCTCTCTCTCTCTCTTTCCTTGTTTCGATTATTCGATTATTCTCTCTTTTTTATATATTATATTCTTATTCCAAGTCTCAGATTTTCTGAGTTGATTCTCTCTTATTTTCTCATGAAATAAATTCCACCATCCATATGAAACTCTGAGATGTGTATATAAAATGCTGAGTTATCCTTAAAGATCAATGAATCATCATTATAATCATCATCTTTCTCAGTAGCTTTCTCTTTACATCTTTATCTTCCTCTTTATCATCTTCCTCCATCTCATCCTCTTTCTCACTCCCACTCTTCCTCCGCATAATCATCATCACTGAACTTAACTGAATCAATGTGAACTGTTAATTGACCAAAGGAATGAATTTATTGCTTCATCAGTAAACTTGATTATTGGCAAGTGAAACAAAAGTAAAATGATAATCATCATTATCGTCGGGAAAATCAAGACCTGATAACTAACAATTTCGCTATTTTTGTCATGGTAACTTGGTGAAAATCAGAATCATCATGATAATCAAATGTTTAGATGAAATGATGAAAAAACAACACAACATCTTGAAAGTTCATGTCTCTCTCTCTCTCTCTCTCTCTCTCTCTCTCTCTCTCTCTCTCTCTCTCTCTCTCTGTAATCATTAAGATGATAATGTCTCTATGATAATGATAAGGATAAAAGATGAAGATGAAGATGAAAAAAGAGGAAGCAAAAAAATACCCTGAAAGTGATTCTCATGAAGATGATGATAAAAAACTGTAGGAAGATGAAAATAATAATAGGGCGTGTATGATAAGGGATAATAATCCACCGCCATCCCACCCACCCCACCTCTTCATGACAAGAGACTGAGAAATATAAAAAACAACAACAACATGATGGCAATTCAACTGAATCAATGATCAATTCCCATGAATTTTATTTCCTACTGAATTAACTCTCGTATCTTAACCATTAATATTTCATTCACTTAGTTAATCTCATCATCATCATGATCATCATCATAATCCAGCTCACTTTTAACTAATAGATTATATTACCTCATCCTAATGATGATGACCCAAGAGGGAAACGATAAACAACCAAGAGAGGAAAAATTTTTTTTTCGTAAGGAAAAATATGATTCATATCACTTCCTATGTGAATTAAATCATTTATCTTACAGCAATTAATTGCTAATAACCTTTTTAGTGAAACAATTAAGGGAACCGGCAGTTAACCATTAATCGTTATTAACCACACAATTAACGATCAAGGTTTCAGGTTTGAATAGTTAGTGAATCGCATTTTTTTTTTCTTGCTGAACTGATTGTTTTTAGCGATTATTAGTTAATTGTTGACGTTTCGAATTCGTTTTTTTTTGTTCAACTTACGCTAAATGTGATCGCTGGACATCAAACTCATCAAATGTCACCTCGATTATTTGATCTGGACGAGCAACGAAATTGTATAAAAGGCAGTTAATGTTTTCATCATAAGGTATCGGCCAATTGGGTGAGGTAAAGACACCATACTCTTTACCGTAAGTATCTTGAAAGGTAATACATTTACAATCAGCACCAAGAGATGATATTGATTTGATTGTTAGAGTTAATTGGTTAACAATAATCCAAGTAACATGATAACTTAAAATGGTTACAATTAAATTACAATCAAATTGCATGATGTATATAAAAAAAACCAGCCAAAGATTGAGATGAAAATGGTCAAGATGAAAACAGTTACATAAGAATCGGTTAGATAATTACAACAAACATTTTACAATTTAGTTAATTAACACAATTAATTCAAGTACATTTGTATAAATATTTTCTTATCACAATAATTTATCATCACACTTTATATACACATAATTAAGTTGATAAACATTGATCACAATAATGATGATTGGTAACCAATTGGTGAACATTTTTTGTACGAATATCCAAAAATTGTCATTCTAATGATGATGATAGTTGATTGTTGATAATTAAAGATGTTAGATGTACGAAGAATCAATTTTTTTCATAATATTCATCCGACAAATTCATTTTCCCTTTTCTGGTTATAACATATGATTGAGTTATTATGGGTTATCATGAGTGAGCAGATCACATTTAGTTAAAGTCATGTTACTATTGAAAATTTTCATTCCTCTGGAAATATAATAATGCTAATAACAATCTAGCATTATTATTGTTGTTCCTACTCTCTGGTATGATTATTGTTATCATCACAATATATACATACAGGGATAGAGAGGAAAAATCATCCACAATTATTATTAAATGTTGAACAGTTCACAGTCACTTTGGTAAAAGTGATAATAATAATAATAATAATACTAACATACTTATCATTATTATTATTATCTTACTTATAACAGAGTTACTACTATTACAAAAAAAAATACAATTCTTACGAGAGGAATTGGTTAAGATGAATACACACTCATACTCAACTATTACATGGGTATTCAGTGGGTATGCGCATTCAGGTTAGTATATTTTCACCAGGATGAAAAGAGAGAGAGAGAGAGAGAGAGAGAGAGAGAGAGAGAGAGAGAGAGAGAGATAAAATAGAGAGAGAAGATGAATACCAATGTATATATATACTTTTGGGATTCCAAGAGTCTGATGATGTCGATGATCATGATGATTAGGGAGAGAAAGAGAGAATTGAAAAATAAAGAAAAAGATAGATATTCAAACTGGGAATGCGCTTTGTCACAATTCTGTCATTTTCTGTCACTATCGCCATCTATTTGATCATTTCTTTAGATTCTTTTAAGATTAATTGTTAACTTTTCTTCAATCTTTGATTCTTTCATAATCCTCTGCTGGTGATGATTTTTGATTCATTCCAGTCAATTATTAAATCAATTTCTTTCCATTTGCTTGTCTCTTATTCCAATGATATTTTCCTCATTCAATTGTGTTCCTGATAACTAATAGTTATCTCATCCTTGATCGTGATCCAACTTTTTGCAACAATCAACTTGTTTTTTAATATACTTTGATTGTTATTACCATTATCATCTTCGTATCCAATATTAGTCAATATGGTTTAACTTTTTTTTTTCTTTCGCAACTATTGATGAAAATTCAATAGTATATTATTAATGTATTGGTGGCTTTCAACGTTATCATTATCGGTGAGAAAATCAGATTTATCTGGAATATAAAAGAGGCTATAGAATGAGAATAGAGTAACAAATTAGTATTGATTACAATCAGAAATTTGATATTAAAACTCACCTTTGGAGGTTGACAATTGGCTCTCGATTGTTGGATCGATAAATGAAATTAGTGTATACGTGCTCTGTTTAGGTAATTAGATTTGGGCGACAATTATTAATTCGTTACAATCGTTAAATCATCAAGAATTTTCTTTTCATTTCTCTGGAAGATTTTGATTTTTGATTGGTGTTCTTTTCTTGGACAAATTCCCTTGATCGTGAAAAAATTACTCCGATTTTTTTTTGTCTCTTGCTTAATTTGAGGTTCCAAACAATTTACTTTTGATTGCAAAAAGGTAATTGGTTTTAAAAAGCAATTCTCAGGGTAGATGGAGAAAAACAAGAAACGAATTTCAATGGAAAAACTGGTCAATGGGCTATTTTAGGTTTTCCTTTGGATAATATTATCTAGATCAAAGTGATGGAGAGAAAAAAAAGAAAAGAGAAAAAAATGTTATCAAATTTGTCACCAGAGATGAAGAGGAAAAAATAAAATAGAAAATAAAGTGACACGAAAAAGACAACAAGATAAAAAAAATGGAGAAAAGAAAAAGTTCTAAGGAGAAAAGGCTTTTCTTCACTTCACTTGACTTACATTCTGAATGACTTATTGTTTTGGTTAGTTTGTTTTTCTCGAATTATTTTCATCTTATTCTTTGTTTCAACGTTACCTTAAATCGTAGATGTTACTGTTTGAAAGATAATTTTCTTGTTTGCAAGAAAAAGACCAAGAAAAAAAATCCCAAAGGGAAATTGTCATCAATCAACTTGACCACAACATTCAAACTTTGACTTTCTTCTGGTTGCAGTTTGGAACTTTTTTCATCAGCCTACTCTCTCTCTCTCTCTCTCTCTTCCTCTTTAAAAGGTGAAATTCAGCTTCAACCATGATGATGATCCAGAAAAGGATGAAAGATAAAAGCTTTGTCGTTGTTAAGGGTTTTCCGTGACATCAACAATAGATCATAGACTGAACTTGGCTAATTAATCAAGCATTTGTTAACAATTGGCTGGAAATGAGAGCGAAAGTGTTTGATGAAATGCCAGAGTTACGAAAGCAGTTGTATTACCAGTCAATGAGCAGCCAGTTACTTTAGGGTGGAAGATGAAATGATGACGATAACGATGATGAAGATGAAGATGCTGGAGTAATGGTGTGAGTGCTTAAGATTGGAGAATCATGTAAGTAGGATCTATGGATCATTTAACCGACAACCAATACTCTCTTTATCGATCTTTAACCATCTCCCTTGTCTCTTCTTCTTGGTAATCATGTGTACATGTATTATGATCACTTTAACTCCTTCTTCTTTTCCTCATCCTTGTCTTTTTTTTTCATTCTCTTTTTCAAACTCAACTTGCAGTCTCCAAAATCTTCACCAGAAGAAAACATCAGCCACCGATGTTGTTAAAAGAGAAGATCAAACATCTGGAATTTAGTCATTAGGATCAACAAATAGACACATCACCAAAATCAAAGAATTAAAAAAAATTAGAATAATAATCAATCACCAATTTAATTGTCTCCATGAAGAAGAAAATTCAAAACAAAATTGTCACATTTTCGCCTCGAGGAGGAAACACTTTTCTCTTTGGTTAACCCAAAAATCACACAAGAAAAAAGAACCAACTGACAGAGAACAAATAATCAGAAAAAACTCTACAAACCAATCAACAATATTCCAATTTCCAAACAAAATAAATTATCACTCATTAAAACAAAAAGATACAAACAATTAACTAATTGTTTACAATAAATGAATATTTAAAATCCAAGAGCTGAAAAGATAAGTGTTACATTTAATTTAAATGATTTACAAAAGAAAAACAAGTAGCGACATCTGTTGAAAAAGAAGTTAATTATTCTCTTTAAATTTTAAACTGAATTTGTAACAATTTCCAATTGAAAACAAAGAAGAAAATTTCAACCAAGAAGATTAAAAATCTAAACCCAAACAGAAAACTAACAATTAACTAATCACGAATCAATTTAAACTAACCAACGAAAAGAAAATGAAAATAATGAAAACAGCACCAAAGAAAGAAAAGAAAAGAAAAATTAAACAATTTAATTAATCTAAATCTCAGTTGAAAGTGGAAGACCCAACAGAGATGAAATTAATGACATGTAATTAAAAAGCAAATTGAATTGGATTAAAATTGGAATGGAAAACAATTAAAGAGAAGAAGAAGAAAAAAAGAAAAAAATTTTAACCGTTGGAAAGAAAAAGAATTTAAACTTCGCGCGTAATTTGGTTTCTTTTATTCTCTCGAATGTGATTGGCCAATGGTTCGGGTTTGATTCTCTTACTGTTACTTTGGTTTTTTCTGTTAATCTTTTTGTATCTTTGTTTTCATTCTTAATCAGCTTAGTCTTGTGGTCTCTTGTGGTAATCATCGTAATGATTTTCGTGAATAACCAAATTACCATCAACTTAGTTGGTGGAGAAATTCTAATTGTTTTTCAAGGAGATGCCAATAAACTGCCGATGTTTGAAACCAACAACCTTTGGATCAGAATTGACGAAGAAGTTTCTCAAATAGCTGTTCTTTTGGATCTGGAAAACTTCTTCTTCCAATGTCTAACTATAAATGAATTATGTAAGTTAAACTATAACCTACTCAAAATTGTAAATTTTATATCCTGTGACTCTGAAAATCTATCAATAGATGAAAATTTTGTTATTACCTCCAAAAATACCCTAAGATTTTTCAAATAAGAATGTAAACTAAAAGACAATTAAATTAAAAGACATATACGTTAAAGGACATATGAATAAAATATTAATTAATATAAATTCGATGAATCTTGTTTATTCTTCTTAATGGACAAATGAATATCTTTAAAGCTCCTTAAACATCCGAATTGTGTAAATAAATGTTGGTCAGGTCAACTTGAAATTGTGCGGTTCCTTCTCTCACCATTTCTAACAATTGATCACAAAAATTAGAATGCGTATGAACCAAACCACATTGGGAACAACGGCGTCTTCGACGACATTCCAAAGCGTGAAAAGGTCTAGCGCAATTACGACAGATCACGTCCAGATTACACTCGTGTTCTCCATTATAGTACTTCTTGCAAAAAGGACATTGTAACACCCCTGTATTATCAAAGCAGTGAATAGTCTTACCATTATAAGTTAATCCCATTCCTAAAAAGAATGAACAAGAATTAAAAAGCCAATTAGATCGAAAGAAAGTTAATTTACTTAAAACAAAGGGAAATTACTCACTAGCTTGATGGAGCAGTTTATAAGTTGACAAACCACACTTAACAATGACCATTTCTCCAATGGTATTCCTCTTCACCTCCTTTAATGTTAAACTATTACCAGGTAATCCAATTGAACCGGCCATTTTTGCTAACATGAGCTCCATTGACACAACATTTTCAGGTTTGAAAAAACATATTTCATTATCCAGAAAAGGAATTGGAACCACATCACTTACGAAATCTTCATTTTTTAAGATTTCGGTAAAATGGGTCACATTAGAAGAAAAAATACTTATACCAAAAGAATCATCGGAATACAATTTAATTAGATTTCGATTGATGAAAATCTCTCCCATTCTTTCAAACTCTTTCTCCATATCAACTAATGAGTAATCAGGATTAGGTATAAGTCTCCAATATCGATATGGGCAAAAACATCCGAAATTTACCTTCACTGAGTAATTTTTTATAGACATTATTATTTGATTTTTTGATTAATCAAAATAAATTCAAAAAGAAACAAAGATAAAATAAAAAACAAAAAGACAAAAAGACAAAATCACAATCTAAAAATCAAATGAAACTACAAACAACTTCCACCAATTAAACGACAAAATGAACCAATTTTTTGAAAAAAAGCTCCCACTTCAAAAATAGATCATAGATGGAGACACTTATTCGTTATTGGCCATTTAAAATGGTGGCACTTCCGGTATCACCATTTTAAACTGATCCTCCTCGTACCATTAGGGAAGATCTCACAATCAGATTCTCTTAACTCTAGGAAAACTTCGAGATAGATCAATCTTATTGAAGAGTATTTTCCTTTAGTATCTTGAGGAAGAAGAAGGAATGCCCATTCACTGCTTGAAATAAAATAAGGAGCATCAAAAACAGGATGAATCTTGTTTTTATAACAAAGATACATACTGTTCTCAGCCAAAACCTTCCTGAATTTCTCAGTTATCACCAAGCTCACTCGATATTTATCTTCTTGCTTAATAAACTCGTAACTTTTTACGGATGAAGGGTGTTGACCATTAGATGAGCACAACATAAGAACAAAGTACTTAAATTCAACATTAAAACTCAAATCAGTATAATAATAAACGTCAAAATAATTAGACTCCATTTTTTAATCAAAAGAAAATGAAAAGAATTATTTTTTACTTAAAAACAAAATGTCAACGGAAATACACCTTTCTTCACTCATTTCTCTTTGTAGCTCCACCTTTTGAATCTTTTCCAAATTCAATTTTTTTGCGCGAAATCAACAAGATTCATAATCTGGTTCCAAAATCAAACATTTGTAATTGAAATTAATCCTTTCCAGAGCCAAATTTACTCTTGAGATAAACACTTTACAAGCACGGTCCAATCCTGAATGTCCCCTGGTTCCACATGAAGGGCACAGTAATGTAATCGATGAACAATCTAAAAAAGTATGAGATTCGCTACATTTGTAACACTTCGGCTCATTCACACAATTTTTCTCCAAATGACCAAATTGACTACAATTAATACAAAACTTTATATTCAAGTTATCATAAACTTGATACTTTTTACCATCCAAGAATAAATAACGCTCCTCCATTTCAGTTACTAAGCTATACATTTCTGGTGTCAAACTCAATAAAAGTATGTCATGATTAGTCTTGAAAATGTAAAACTCAACTTTCACTTGATCTTTATCCAACCAAGAATTTTCCTGAGCCAATTTAGTCAACAATTCACCGCTTCGCACGTAGTGATTAACCCCATTACATCTCGATATTAACAACTTCACCACAGGATTAACCAGCTTAGGTATATGCCAATCGAACTGAGGAAATTGTGATGCCAATTGCTGATAACTTATCCATCTCTCTTGCTGATTAGAAAAACGAATTTTTAAGCAAGAACATCCTTGATCCACCAAGAACTCCTTCTCCTTCAACTTCATGGCCAAATCCCTTAAAGTAACGTAATTCCCACGATTAACCTTTTTTCCTTTAGATCTAACCAATAGACTCCAATGACGAACATAATCTACCTCCAATACCATAGGCTTTATATGCTTAGGGATCTTCTTTGGCACAACGTCATCTAATCTATAACTAAACAACTCTTTAACCCTTTGTTGCCTCTCTGTCAAAGGCCCTTCATAAGCCTGTAAATCCAAAAGAAGCTCCATTTGACCACCATATGAACATATTAAATCTTCATTACTCAACATTAGATTAACAGCCATTTGATCCAATTTTTCATCTATCAAAAGAAAAGAGATTAAAATCATAACAATTTACTCACTCAACTATGAAAAGCTTAACTTACCCATTGAACACCTTTTAATCAATTATAACTATCAACAAATTAATTTTAAGAATAGTTAATTAATATATGAAAATTTTTTCAATTTTATTTAATTGTAAACAAAGACACTTTTCATGAATACATTACTACTATCACCATGGTGATAAAAGGAACACTTATTTAGAGGGAACTTCAAATTTTTGAGCTTGCATTAAAAAAACCACTATGGAAAAAGCTTTTACTCATTTGAAGTTCACAATTTCTTAAAAGATTACATAACGGTATCGGTGATTAATACGCTCTAATTCAGCTCCCAATAACCTTTGATATGTTGAACACTTTATCAAAAGCATTTTCACCCTCCTTACCACAATTAGGACATTTTGTTCATCCAACTTTAAACGTAATCGACAATCTTTGGACAGATGACCAGAACAACAATATCCGCACAAAGTCAATCTGAAACATTTTTCTCTTTTGTGTCCATATCGACAACAATTTTGACACATCAAAATTGGTATATAGTCAACAACAGCCACCTTGCCACTCGGTGTCTTAACGTAACCATCACTTTCCTCTATAAGAACACGAATTCTTGATTCAACCTGCAAGAGAACATTACAAAAAGAACCTCTTGACAAAAGATTCACTTTCCAATTAACACGAAGACTTTCACTCCATCTATTCCATAAAAATAAATTCTTGATCCATATCTTCATCTTCTCTTCATCATCGTTCTGATCTATATGACAATTAACTAATTTTATCAACGGGTCACTCAATTGAGGAAACTTCAATGAGAAAGTTCTAATGAAATCTTCATGTGAAAGAAACTTCTCCTTCAAGAAGTAACGATTTTCATCCTTTTCCACATAAATTTTTAAACAAAATTTCCCCATCTTGACATCATCAATATAAGAAACCAACTCTGGATGACTCTCTAAATAGACTTTAAATCTGGCGTTTATATCAGGACCAAATGAACTTTCCTCAAGAGAGAACAATAACAAAACAGGTCTGATAGGAAGATCCTCGACATTTAACCAATTTTCCTTAGAACTGTGTACGTTATAACGTAAGAAAATTTTACTCTCGTAATCTTTTCTTGTCCTTTTTTCACTCATATCAATTGAGCCAACTTCTAGGGGATTTCGATCCTCCTCTTCTTGAACATCCACGGCCACATAATGATCATGAAGTGACATAAAATTAATTATCATCTTCCTCTTGGTGTCATCCAACAAATTTAACTCATCATTTTCCAGAAAATCCCGAAGTAATGAAACCATTTCAGCAACGTCTTGCTCACCATAATTTTTTATCATCTCCTCACTATAGCTACCTCATATTTGGTCATATACTTTTCAATCACAAAAAGAGAGGCTTCCAGATCTCGACAAGCTTCACCTTCAAACAAATCACCATCATTTAACTTTCTCTTTGACATCTTTTTTCCAAAAACAAAACAAAATTACTTTAACTATGTTTATAAAAGTTGTTAACTTACAAAGAAAACTAAAACTTATAATCATGTTCTCAACAAATTCAAAAGTAAAAATGACTATATTCTAGTTATGAGTGAGCTAACCAACAGAATGGACTTTGCTATCAACATTTACAAGAACAACAAAATCGCCTTAGGACTGCCCACCACCGTTAAAAAAATCAACATCAACTACAGTTACGATAACATTATAGTTTGCCTTGCAAGACATTATCACGATCACTTCTTTTTTATTGCTGTCTATAATCACAACACCAAAAATGAAAATTTTTGGAATCAACTAGAGGAAATTTTAAACTCCATCGGTAGTTACCCAATCATACTAGCTGGCGACGTAAATTATGAAACGGAACTGTGGTGTGACCAACCAAAGATCTATTTCAACAAATCTTTAACCAAAAGAATTAATAATCTCTTCAATGATTTTCACTTTAAATCGATAAACTTAAAATCAAGAGATGAAAACTACACAAGAAAGGACAAAAGAATTAATACTAAGACAATCATCGATTTAATCCTGATCAACTTTGAAAGTAAGACAGAAATTAAACTGATTGATACCAATTTAAGCGACCACAGAATCATTAATGGTTACATAGAATCATTTCCCCTGAATAAAATCAAAATAAGCTTTTATGACTTCCTAATTAAGAAAATTTCATATGAAGACATCAACGAAACAACCAATAAGATAATGTGTCAGCCCATTAAATTCAGATTTCAAGGAAAAAACCCTTTCAATCAACGACAGGACATTAACAACCATTGGAAAAATATTGAATCAATCAAAATAGAAACAGTTTAGACAATATGATTCCCAACGAACCTATGAATTTAGAAACCCTCAAATTTAACCAAGTCAACTACTCCTTTAAATACAAGGCAGGCATTAATCAAAATGAAAAATTATTTATTAAGAAATTTAAAACAGATAAAAGTTCAGGATTAGCCGATCCATACAACTATAATAAATGGAATAAATTTATAAGACTTAACCAGGAAGCTATTATTAATCTAATAGATGATATTTTCAAAAGTACTTATATACCTGAAATTCTGAAAACTAGTGGAGGCACCTTAATCCCTAAAAGTAACGGTAGTTTTAGGATGATAAGGTGTCAATCCTATCTAACCAAATTAATAGACGAAATCCTATATCAACGAATATTAAGCAATATTGATAATATCATTGATAACCAATTTCACTTCGCCTTTCTACAAAACAAATCTAGATTTGACTTACTCTCAATAATTGAGGATAATTATAAAAATTTTAAAACAGTAATTACCATTGATATTAACAAAGCTTTCGACGAAATAGACAAAAATATAATATTCAGAAAACTTAATAAAAAAGTCTGTGACCAAACGATGGAAATGATTTTCGAGTTTTTCGAAAAAAGAAAAATTAGAACTTTCGAAAATGGGTCATTTAAGATCAATGATGATGATAAAGCCATAATTCAAGGGACCTCGATCTCTCCACTACTATTTAATATCGGCATCGATGATACAATCAAACAAATGAATGATCACAATACTCTCACACTATCATACGCCGACGACATATTCATTATGACTAATGACAGAATCGAAGTAGCTGTTGAGAGACTTCGAGGCAAACTTAAAGAGATTAATCTAAAAATCAATCCGAGCAAAAGTAAATTCCTTAAAGAAGATTATCAGATTAAAACTGCTACTTATCTAGGTTTCACAAACCTTTTCTCATTATCTTCCCTTAAAACTAAATACTTTAATCCCGAAGTTAAAAATTACATAACCAATATTCAAATTACACAAAGTAAAATCATTATTGATTCCTATTTCTCATCATATTTACATCAATTGGGCTTTTCTCCTTTTAGAAATAACAAATTATACGAATATAGAATTAAATTACTTATTATTACTAGTTTAAAAATAATTTTTACTTCCTTACATCACAAGAAGGCAATATCCTTTTGGTTTGCTCATAACCTAAACATAAATAACCCCACAATTAATTATTTATGTGAAATATTAACTTGCTTATTAAACAATAATAATGACGCCAATGACTTTCCAATAATTAACTGGATAAAACCAATTAAACATGTTTACATTAAGAATAATAGATTAAACAAAAAGGAACCAAATGAAATCATATACACTGATATTATTATTGATAATGAAAAAATTTGTGTTAAAATCAACAAGTATCCTAACATCAACAAACACTCCCATTACGATAATAATAATAAACAATTTAAAGTTAACAATTTAATTAGAATCATAGATACTCTAGCTGCATTGTCTTATGATTTGAACATTACCTTCAACAAAAAATATAAGCAATTAATAGAAAGTTACGTTAATTACATTGCTAACCAAAACAAAATACACATACAACTAATTAATGAACCCAGTAAAAGAAAATGCCTAATCACAATGCAATTCGATACTCTTCAAAACGAAACCAGTTTTACAAAACATAATCTAAAAACGATTATCCAAAACAAAATTAATCGAATTCAATCACAACTCTACAGACAATATGCGCCAAAATACTTGTTTGAGTGGTTCCCGAGGGAAAATAAATTCTTTACTCAAGATATCAAATATCCATCTCTATTTATAGAGAACATTACTAAATTAAAAATGGCAACTAAGAATTACAAACATCATCAATGTTCACAACCCTTTAGTAATCAACATTACAGCAGCTGCCCTCTAATGCTTAAGTTTATAAACAACTGGAACTTTGAACGTAACTTCAAAAGTAAAACTTTAAAACTATTTTTAATCAAAAATGAACTTTCGAAGCGACAAGTTAATACTTCAAATCAATGACATCAACAAAGTTTTTTATCTCTTTAGTGACTCAAGTAATATGATTGAACCTCCACACAACATCTGGACTAAAGTTGTAAATGATGAAAAATTAACAATTGTCGCCCTCAAATTCGGAACGATTAGAATTGATCAAATTTCCAAAGTTATTACTGACAATTTAAATGAACAAACTTGTTGTAACCTAATTGGTTTTCATCCATACGTACTCTTTACAGGAAGTGAAAACAACAAATTCGTCATGAACAAATTGAAAGAAATAATTGAGGACTGGGAAATCAACGAATACATGATAATCGACAGCAGTAATCTTGAAATTCATCTAATTGTGTGAGATTCTTGACGAGAAATAATCGAATTAATCAAAGATTATATTCCGCTCCTAATCAAAATAAGCGCCAGGGTCATAACGAACCCCTCCCGCTTGGAGTCGCTCCTAGAGGAGTGAAAATCACCTTTTTCTTCATTTTTTTCTCTCTCTCTTGTTTAATTAGTTTATTTTTTTGTTTCTTCTCTTTTTAATCCCTTTGATTAACCTTTAAACAATCAGATCTTGTTTCTTTTTTCAATTTATTACCAAACCTTAAAAAAGAAAGAAAGAGAAACAATCAACTCCAACAAACCAAAAACCTATAACCTTGGGTAACATTTATAATAGGATTGTGTAAATATATATACTATAAATTTCAAATTTTAAATGGCTTGTGGGGCCATAAAGAGATCCCTTGAATGGGATCCATTGAATTCACCCTCACAAAGTAGCACTCCAGTTGTATCAAGTGCGAGGCCAACTAAGAAACGATGTCTTGTCCATCATAATTATAATACCACCGCTTATAGTGGACCTAAGGAAGCTTCACCCTTTGCTGATTTACACCCTAAATTGTCTCCAGGTAAGTGTATTGTGTGTTACCTTTATCTCTCTTTTTCTTTCTTTTCCAGTCTCTATTTCCATCTATTACTCTCTTTCCTTCTTTATTTCTATTGCCTTTTTCTCTTTCTCTCCTCATTTTTTTCTTCTTCTCTTTGGCTCTTTACTTTATTATTGCCTCTTGGCTTTACGTCTTCTTTTTTTCTTTTCCTTGCCTCTTTAGTATCACTTCTCTTTCTATCTATCTCTCTTTCTCTCCCTCCTTGATTCTCTCTCCTTCCTTTTCTCTTTCCCTATTGAAAAAATTACATACCCATCATCATCATCATCATCATCATGTTCTTACCCAACTTGAAATTTTTATATTTACACACACACACATACACATTGATTACTTTTAAACCCGAAATTAATATCCTGTCTTATTTATTCTTTTTCTCTGTCTCTTTTTTTGTTCCATCTTACAGAAACTATCGCAGCTAATATTAAGGATGAAATGAAACGACTACAGAATAGGAAACAGTTGTATTACTCAAGTAGTGGAAATCAATTCATGCTGAACTCACCCAATCCAGAGAATAATTCAAATGAGTATGTGGATTCTATACTTATAAACATTGAAGCACACACACACAGTATTCTCATTGTTGATTCTCTTCTCACTTCAATCTTTTAATGCTCTTTAACATCCCATATAAATTGATTTATAAACTGACGACTATTTTTTCCCGTTCTTGTTTTTTTACAGAAATGAAGCCTCAACGTCAACTGAAGGTCAAAGTTTAAATTCAAGTTTCCTTGGACTACTATCACCATCTCGCCGTGATCAACCTTTATTCACATTTAGACAAGTAACAATTATATGTGAGAGACTCCTTAAAGAAAGGGAAACATCGCTTAGAGAAGAATATGACCGAGTCCTAAGCAGCAAATTAGCAGGTAAATTTAAACAGTAATCAGTCTATTTAAAACATCGGTGATTAACTATCTCTCTCTCTCTCCCTTTTTCAGAGCAATATGATACATTTGTAAAATTTACCTACGATCAGATTCAAAAGAGATTTGAAAACGGGACAACACCAAGCTGTGAGTTGAACCTTCACCACCAACATAATCTACTCATGGTTTATGTGTATCTAAGGATTATGTTTAAAAATGATTATTGTTGATTTCCATTATTAAGCTTTTTTATCTCTCAACACAAAAAATCAACAACGATGTATTTTAAATTACCATTTAACTTTGCAATGTACACTGGTAATAGACTAGACGAAAGTCACTGATAATCCAAGTATAATTAGCCTGATAATCTTGTCCAACATTGTTTTCTTAAATATTCAGTTTTTGAATTCAAATCAAGCCTTTGGAAAGATATTTTTAGATACACATGAGCTCTCTTTCTCTTTCTCTCTTTCTCTCTCTCTCTCTTACTTTCTCATACACACACACACATGATCCATATACAATTGTTACAAAATATCCCACTAATTGTTTTCTCTCTTTTTTCTTTTTTTTTTACAGATTTATCTTAGACTTCCTCTCCTCCTTTTTCTATCAAGTATTCATATATAAAAAAAGTCAATAATTATACAGCATAGAAAGTGAAATTTGAACGCAAAATTTTTCTCTGCGCAGAATTTTTCTCCAATAGCGTTAAGATGCGTAGATAATAAATTCTTTTTCACTAACAAAATGTTACTTTCAATGCTGTATATTATGTATACTGATTTAAATCTAATAACTACAAATCAACAACAACAAAACAAACCAACAACCACCAACATCTAACTTTTTTTTGCTACCGATGTTGATGATCTTGATTCTTCTCATCTTTTGTTCTATTCCCTTCCCTCTATCTTTTCTTTTCTCTATCTTTCTCTATCTCTATTTCTTTCTTTCACTTCCCCTGGTCATCATAATGTTTATCATCATCACTTCTCTCTCATCATCGTCATCATTTGTGTCATCACAATTATCAAGGCAAAAACATTGAAAATATTTGGAAAAAAAAGTGAGATTTGAATTCTGTTTTTCATCCATACTTTTTGTGTCTTCTTTTTTTCTTCTTCTTTCTTTGATCTTTCTTTTTCTCGAAAACAGCGACAAAACAACAACAACAACAACATCTAAAGATTGAATTTTGTTAAATTGATTTTGCACTTTTTTTTCCACTTTGGATTCTACTTTAATTGTGATCGATTATCACCAAAATCAACAACAAAGACAAACGCAAATTCAACACACATCTCAATCTATATATCAACTTTTGGTCATTTACACCATGCAAAAAAAGATTCAACGAGAGAAATGAAAAACAACAACAAACAAACAAACAAAATAGAAAAGATAATTAAAAGAAAAAGCTGATTACAAGCGACGAGAAAAAATTAAAACAACCCAAGCAAACGTATAAAAAAAATATTCAACTAAATTGTTTTCAAATTTTTCGTACAATTTATTTAATTACCTTGTGTTTGATTCGTGCGGTGTGTGAACAATTTAATCAATCAATTTCTTTCTTCTCAACCAACTTTTTACTTGTTCTAAAGTTGAGAAAACAATTAAAATCAGATCAACGCGATGAAAAGTTGATTAAGTTAAATCAGTGACACCGAAAAAACAATTAACTATAATCATGGTTACTTTTTAACAACAATTAACAACCAAATTGTCATCAAGGGTAAATTGTTATCGGTTTGTTGTTGTTTCAATTTTTCGTCATCAATTATGATTAACCAGAAACCAGATAATTAATTGACCTTTGAAATTAACATTAAACATCATTAATTATAATTAAATGTTGATGATTATCAATGTTTGGTTAACATTCACTTTTAATTACAATTTAAAATCCCATGAAACAGATGAAAAGTTAATCCAGATTAGTTACATGACAATTGATGATCGTCAATTGATTTGTGACATTTTAATTGTTGACAAACATGAAAGAACCCAAATTTAAATTGTTAATTGTGTTCATGTTATTATAGTTAATTAATAATATCGTCGATTGGATTAGATTTTGGTTTCATTTTCTAGAATCCTTTTAGTTTGAAACAATTGTAATTGTTTCGATTAAATTTGAGTTGATTGTCGCGATTAGTTAATGATCAGTAAATTAAGGCTATGGTTTTATAATACATTTTATATCTGTTGAGTTAATATAATGATGTTTCTGGTTCCTTTTCCGGTTTAGTTAGAGATGGATTTTGATGATTGTATTAAAAAAGACAAAAAATAATATCAAATTAATGATTAAAGATAAATAATGATAATTATTATATATAAACGGGGAACGAATCAAAGTTAATTGTTGGACTTTTGTGTATGTTCATCTTGATCTTTTCCTTGGGTTATGAAGGTGAGATGATTAATGACAATCAATGGAAGATAATTACAATGATTTAGTTTAAATTGTTTCGATGGCAATATAATAGTTTAAGAGATTAATGAAAATGATTAAGGTTTTTTTTTCTCGATGATGATGAGATGCTGATCGTTTCCTTGGTGCTGAATTAGAGTTAATTAGAATTACAATCAAATAATAGTTAATTGTTGACAATTGATTGTTAGCTTCATCTTTAAAAGTATTCATACTTGGTGGTTGGAGAAATGTAATTATGCTAATTTAGTGAGTTATCTTCTTGGAAGATGTAAAAACAAGTGGATTTTTATCATCACCAGTCTATTGATTTTGAACACAGGAAGATGCTGATGATGATGATGATGATAATGATGCGTAAAGGGAGATGATGAGATACAAAAAGTAAAAACAATCAATGAAGATGATGAAGATGAAGATCAATCCGTTGACTTGATTTTTTTTTCAAGATCAAAAATCAGCTGAGAATCAGATGAAGTTCAAATTTAAGTAAATTAGTTCTTAATGATTTGTAATTAATAATAATTATCAATCATAATGAATGATAATTATCTTTGTGGCTCTTTTTTAAATTTGCATTTGGCATAATCATCATCGCATGGCTTTGATTGTGACGGCAATTCAACTGGGTTATTATTAATTTACAATATTTATAAATTTAAATATATTATTGATATATAATTATTTATAGTTGTTAATCATTTAGTAAGAAGGCCAATCGTAAATGTAATAGTTAATTGAGATCCATTTTTTTTGAACAGGGAGAGAGAGAGTAAGATTTGTGATAATTAAACAGGTAATGATGATGATGATAACAATTAACCTTTTCTCCAATCAATCCCATTGATTTTTAAGCTTCTCAATCAAATTGCGTTTTGCTATTTCTCAATATCATCGGCAAGGGTTTATCCAAGATCCTCTTTCCTTAAATTTGGTGTTTCATCATCATCCTTATCATCCTGATCATCTCAATCATCTTGAACTTGTCTTTACTATTGATAAGATTGATATTTTCCAATCTCTTTGACTTTTTCCCTCTATCTTGATAAGCAGAAAATCAATCATTCCGGTTTGTAGGATTGCTTGTTGACATTATCATTTTGATTCGAGTTGATCATCATCTCCTCCTCTTTACCTTTATCATCATTATTATCACCAGAAATGTTTGAATACTTTAAGAAATATATATTAATTCATCGGGCTGATGTTCTCGGTGTTATCATCATGAAATTCATCAGAAAAGGAAAATATAATATTAAGTTTTTTGTTTGTTTTTCTTTCTCTTGTGAACTATTATTTTTGGCTTTATATTGGATTACGTTTCAGGGGAACGATTTGATTTTCTTTCAGCTCGTCTTTTCGCTAATTTAGACTGATTTACAGGCTCAAGATTAATCGGCGGTGGGACATTTACAGCTTCAAATACTCGACCCATATTGGCTTTGATTAAACTTGGCTCTTGATGAGATAAACTTTCATTTGATAATTGATCACGTTGGTGGATGAAATCATGATTTAGTACATTCTTGGCTCGATAACGTATCTTTGGGTCAACTAGTAACATTTTACTGACCAAATCCTATTGAATAGAGATATAAAAAAACAATTAGAAGACAATTAAATCAAGTTGAATCATTTTGAATAACTATTAGATTGGACTAACAAACTGTTAATGGATAATAATAATTTTAAAATAAAGTGAATTATAATCCAATTATAATCATTGTATGTAATTAAATGCTCAGAGAAAATCCTATTGTATTTATTTTACCAATGAAAAAGATTAATTAATTCATGTGTTAATTTAGTCAATTAACATTTGGATTTGGATCAATTTGAGTTGGTTACTCGGTTATTTTTATGATTATCAAATTACTGAGTATATTTAGCAGTTAATTAGATTTTAATTACCTTGGCTGTTTCCGAGACTCTCCTCCAATTACCTGATTTAAGGTCAAATTCACCTTTACCAACTTTACCCAATATTGAATTCGGAGTATCTTCTGGACCATTGGCGAAAGGAGTGTGACTGTAATTGATGAAAATACAATTAAAATTAATCATCATAATCAAAGTGAAATGATTTTACTATAAACTCTCTTTATTAATCAACAATCAACGTTTTAAACTTTAATTGTAATGATAATCATTCTAAGACTTTTTTGATTACTTTGAAAATATTAACTTTCATCTTGAATTTAAACTTTCTTCACTAATTTAATCAATAATTAACAGACTTTAATAAATCAATTTATCAAAAATGAACAATTGATTATTGAAACTTTGTCCATTTAAATGGTAATGGACAAAGTTAAATGGCTCGAAAATATCAAACTGTTAATTGTCAATGGAGTAAAAAACACCAAAAATAATCAATCAAACAGTGAGAAAATAATATTGATTAATTGAAAATCAAATCAACAATCAGAAAACAGACAACAAACAGAATAAAAAAATTAGATAATCTCAATAATCGGCTCAGGCAACATCAACATAATACTTGATTAGAATTCAGTTAATGAACTGTTCAGAAAACAACATCGACAACATTACGATGCGTCAGCGAATAGTAAATAGACACAAGTCGATATTACGATTCAGTGGGGTGTGTTCATTGATCGTAAGTTGCTTCTTCGTGTTCAAATTATTGATCGATCTATTTTTCGAAGAAGGCCCGTTAGATTATATTCGAGTGAATCGACTTTTTCGCGATTTCTTATTATATCTAATCCAGGGAGTGACCTTCGTTTTCATTATCAACTGGTCTCATCTTGAGAAGCAAAAATTGACCGTTCGAAATCACACTGACCTCGTTGTATTAGCTTATCTTAAACGTAATCGATTCATCAGAATCGGGGTAATGCTATTTGATTTTGTTCGAAATATAATCTCTCATGTTATCGTACTATCGCATATACTCCCGAATAATGTTCCATTCATGGAATCCTCGATTAAAGATGTCATAGAAATTGTCGAAAAACTAATGTTATTCATCTTATCGAATATCACATACGTGGCTCATATTTACATGTTCAATCTTCTATTCGAAGGTATCACTTTGCTAACCGCTGATTTCATTCACTTTAACGAGCAGTTAAAATCAGCGAAATGTAAGAATGACACTTCAATACCAGAGCTTCTCTCTCTTCGTCAATTTCACAGTCAAACCATACGAAGTACCAATAACTTTGAACGATTCGCGCGCTGCGAAATCGGGAGGCTCTATTTGTCATTCTTGGTCTTGTATCTATCCATTATTTACAATAAGATAGTTTATAGATTAGAATCTGAGGACAAATTTATGATCATAGCAATTGTTAATTCGTTAACTGTTATTATCTTAACAATTAAGGCAATCGATTTGCATAATAAATGCTTCAAGCCTTCGGAGACACTTTATGAGTTATCATTACCTGTCAGGTCGGATAAATATCGAGACGAGGTAAGTTCACAAGTAAATCTAATCGCTTTGTGAAATTGATCAATTTTCATTTGGATTCTGTTCACTTAGATTATCTCATTTTATGATCGATTGACCAGAAAAGATATTGGTTTCACTTTCATGGGTATTTTTACATTGACACCATGTTTCGTCCTAACGACAACCACTTTGGCCTCGACCATTTTCATGGCCGTTACAAATTTCAAGCCGTCTATTTGATCTTAATCCCAATAGGATTAACACTTAATCAAATTCATTTGGATTGCACATGAATTGCACTGAATTGATCTCACGGAAATTCATCACAATTAACACAATCAGCACAAGTTAATTTAATCAATGTTTGCTAAACTAAATCTTGTTGATTACAGATAAATATTAATATTTGAGATGAATTTAAATAAATAAAATAAGTTAAATTTAAAAGTTAAATAAGTTAATTAAGACAAATAAAATTAAAAGTATTGTTGTTATTTGATAAATTGTGATCAAATTTCACTTTAAGATACAATGATCACAATTTTAGTATCAAAGTAATTAAGTTATCATGTACTACACCAATTTATTGATTGCAAAGTATTAAATTCATAATTAAATATAGCAAATTATCATCACAATTGGAGATCTAACAATAATCAATTTCAAATCAATAAATATCTAATCTAATCATTGAGAGAGTGAGAGAGAGATAAACTCACACCCTGAACATTGTTAATCCTGTAAATAGCAACGATAATCAAATAAAAGTTAATCCTAGTAATCATATAGAGTAACTATTAACAACTAATTACTAAATCATGATTTCAATTAATCATCATCATCAACATCATGACCATGAATAACATGACATGATTATAATTGTCATTGCCTGGTGATAATATTAATAATAGCTGCTGATGAACAATATTAATGAAAAGTAATCATCACAGTTTGATGAAGATAAAAAAAAAGTTTCAAATATCCTGAGGCTTATATATTAATTCATTGTTATTATTTTCATCATGAAAATCTAATAGACAAATTCAATTTCTAATGAAACAATAACTAAATGAGGGAAATCAGGTTAACAGCATGAAATGATTAACTTGATTGTGATATTAAATTGAGACAAAGTGATTTTATTAATCGATTAAATAAATTTATTGTAACTAATCAAATATCACTGTTTGGGTCAAGGTTTGATAAAAATAACATCAGTGACCTGATTGACCATTGGCTATCCCTTTTATTGAAGGCTTGTCATCAGCGACAATTTATTGACAATTGCAATTGATGAAACAATCAACATTCAAACTACAGTTAATTTAATCACTTAGCACAAACAAATGATGAGTGTGAGCTTTTTTTTTACATGTACAAAAAAAAAGCTGAAAACATTGAGAATCCGCTTATTTTTACTTACAACTAATTAAATTGCTCTCATTAAATTGTGATAATCACAATTAGTCAACTGTTAAGCACGAAATGTATTAATTCATCAACATTTTGTATTACAATCAAGAAACAAAAAAAAACAATTATAATGTTAATTTTTGTATTGTAAGTTGCCTGATAAAGAATAAGCAATCAACTTAATTGTATTTTAAACCTTGATTACAATCAAATTGGGAGTTAACTATATAAACAGGGAGTTTAATAATATTATTATTATTATAAGTTTTCCAAGACAATTAAACAATCATCAGAAACAATTATAATTTCAACTAGTATTAAACATAACGGTAATTAATTGTGTGAATGAAAAATTATGCAAATAAACATTTCTATGTGAATGATAAAAGAGTTGCAAGTTTAACTGGATTAAGATTTAGTTACAGTTATGTTTGCAATTAATTTGCAATTTAATTGAGATGATTGCCAATGGTAATATAGTTAATTTGAATTGGGTAAGCTGCTGATTTCTTGTGTATATATAAATGATGAAATATATACACATAGAAAGTACATTCAATTGAATATTATGATAATCAATTTTATCGTTTAGCTTAATGATAATCTCAGGGATCTGTGAATCTTTCATCAATGTTTAGGGTGAAAGTTTATTCAGCTAAATTGTATAGATAATGTTTGTTATATGTGTACATGAACGTTTCAAGGTTTCAATCATGGCAAAAATAAGATTAGTAATCTAGTTGCAAACTCTGTTTTCTATCATAACAATTAACCGTTATTATAATCATCATTGGAGTCGTAATAATATCAATAATAAAATAGGGAATAACGATAAGTCAATAATCAAAGTGAGAGAATAGTAAAGATTAAGAGAAGACAAGGTTAAATACAATGGGAGTAAAAGTATTTACAATCTTCACCAATTGTTCAGGGTCAATAATCATTCAAAGTTAATCTTATTTCAGGGTGAATTCAGTTGAATATTAGACACAATTTTCCAGGTTACAAGAAATATATACAAGAAACAGATAGAATATGAAATTTATTATCAACTGTTAGGAAATAAATTGCATAGTCCATTTATCAGTGAGTGCAATTCAATTGACCAGTCATTTGTTTGCATCATCAAAGCCTCATCTCTATTTTATTGATTAATACAGAAAATCAAAACAAATATTTGAATCTCAAGGATATTCATCATCATAGAGTAAGAGAGAGAGAGAGAGAGAGAGAGAGAGAGAGAAATAGGGAAAAGGTATGACCATATTATAATCGAGAAAAACTGAACCAGGATAATATTGAATAGTTATTATGATCAGTTAACTAATGGAGATAAGTTGAATGTTTGAAGGATGTTGGAAGTTAGAAAGACAGGGAAGAGAAGATAAATTCTGGTGATGATGATGAAAATTGTTCTTTTCATCATTCTGTTTAAACTCCCAGAGAGTGATACAGTTTCTCAAGTATTAGGATGATGTAATAAACGATGAGTGAAAATGCAATAGATTCAGAAACTAATGGTTGTTCATGATTCAGCTTTCAGAAAACCACATACTGCAAATTATTATTATTATTATTATTATCATATTGATGGTGTGTATGTGAGAGAGAAAAAAGAAAATCTTTTTAGGAAAAGATGAGGATGAAAGAAGAAGGAATGGAAGCATGAAAGGAGTGAGAATCGAAGATGAGTAAAACTTTCCTTTTCTGGGTCAAGGCCGATGAACAAGGAAAGTGGAAACATTTACTTTCATCATCATATAACCAAAACTATTGTTCTCCCACATTCTCCCTCATCCTCAATGATGCTTTTATAAGGAGTTTCTTGAAAATGAAATTGAATGAATAGAGAAAGAGATGAAAAAAGTAAATAGACAGAGAAAGCAGACAGAAAGTATATAAGCTTAAGAAATAGAAGATGTGTTATTTTTCAGTGGAAGAAAAAGTGAGAGAGAGAGTGAAAGTAGCTGATTTTAACCATGATAATCATCAAATTAACGAATTAAAGAAAAGTAATAGAATTCTGGATACAACAAAGATAGCAAGAGAGAGAGAGAGAGAGAGAGAGAGATGAATTGACATTGATGCAAGTTAAGCTTTTAGCTATCAACCTTTCCCTTTCCACTTCCTCCTCCCACTGAGCTAGACTTGTCATTTGATTATATGTGTTTTTAACCATCAGAATTAAATCATCATGTAATAAACTCGTAGCAATTACTAATGTTTTTCCAACGATTTAGTCAAAATTAAGCTAACCCACAGCAAGGGTTGGTTGTCAAGAAGCTGAGACGATTCCTTGATAATAATATTTACAAGTCAAGGGCATGGAAACAAAAATCATAATCGTCAACATGGTGAAGATGATAAACAATAACAAAAAAAAGACTAATGTTTATTACAAGAAGATGGATGATGAACAAAATACTTGAAGAAAAGAAAAATTTTTCTCCATTTTAATCATCATTATCATGATAGTATTTTCTTATTGAACAGAAAAATCAATAAGATCTCAATTGATATTAAGTATAATCATTTATTAGATAAATATTTTAATTTGTATGGTTAGAAAAATAAAAATTTAATCAATAAACACACACCAGTTAATTAATTATCAACAAGATAATCATCAGAATGATTATCTTCTTAAAATAACAATTATCCCTCTTATAATTGTGTTTATAGCTGAGTAACAACAACATTGTAATAATTATTGTTTACCTTGTTAATTTTATCGTAATATTAATATAATGTTCATGTGATTATATCAATTGAAGATAATATTATTCAGGGCTTCCTTTTACATTAATTGCTTTTCTCTTATTATCATCATTAGATAATTTATCAACAAAGCAATGGGAATATTTTTCTCGACAGAGAATCTAAAAGATGAGAATGAGTTAGAAATGATGATGATGATGATTGTGGTTGTAAAAAAATTGCGAGAGGGAGATGATGAAAAACAGACTCATTACCTTTCTGTATATTTTCTGGTTACTTTGATAATCATTTACAATTACAGTTATTATAATAGAAAATGATTAATTTCATGAATTAAGTTGATAGTTTGTTGTGTTTACGGTTTATATTCACAATTGTATATTGTTCACTGTAAGTGTCATGTGTATCAATGAGTTTTTATGTCATTTGCTGTTAATTTTATTAATATAACATAAGAACAGGTGATAATTTGATATTGGTTGTAATCAATTAATTGGTTGCAATTAAATTTGCATTTAATAGCATTATCCTGGATTATAGATATAAATTAATATTTTTTTTCCACAACAATTTACAAATTGTTTCAAGAAATGATTGTATAGTAAACTAAAATTGATTGCCTGATCATCTTTATCATATTTCATTTTCATACATATCGATCTGAAAGTAATAAGATACTTTTTAAACATGAGAAGGAAAAAAAAAGGTTTCAAATTTTGGGTTGGAAAGTTTCATCATCTTCATCTTGTTCATGATACAATCATATAATCTGAATCAGTTCAGGCTGAATATGAGTGACAATCAGGTAATAGTGAGTGAGAGGTAGCAAAAAATACCTATTAAATAATAGTTTGCAAAATTACATCAAGAGAGTGAGTGAAGTATCAGATGAAGATGAGGATGAGGATGATTTAACCAATAGTTGCAGCTCTTGATTCTAGATGAATCTTTTTGCAAGAAAATGTAGTTACTGTAGTTTTTGATGATGAGAATATACCTGATGCTAGAAGACAATGATGAGAATGAGCAAAAAGATGATGATGATTATGAAAAAGTCTTTTCAAATGACCTCAATAAACATGTAATAATATTGAAAGTTAAAAGGTTCGAGGCTCTTTCAACCTCGATCTTGAGACACAATTCATGAGTATCATTGGTGTTTCTTTCAGCAAGTAAGTTCTTTCAGTAATCTTTGTCTATTTGACTGTGTAAAGATATAAAACCATTATAAGAGCATCATCATCATGAAGGATGATTACGACAATGATAAAGTTTCATAAAAACAAATGCAAGTGGAAACATAAACATACAAATTCAAACACATCGTGTATGTGTTTAATATATGAATGAATGTGTGTACATGTCAAAACATCAAAGTTGATGTAAAAGAAAAAAAACAAAAGTAATCAACATCATCTCATGTAACTCATTACAAATCATCATGAATAAGTTAAAGTAATATTTTACTTTCCTATCCTCTTATGTTAATTATTGCAATGATCAACTTATCGTATAATATAATCATCATTATATATCAACAAATTCAAGTAACATTTTGAGAGGTACACAAATAATATTAGTATAATTAACTGGTAAACAATAAATGTGATCCAGTTAGAAAGTTAAAATTTAAATTATATAGTTGATTAATTAGAGGAATATATAGTAAATAAATGATTAAGATAACTAATTAAAAAAGTAATTAACATACCCAGCGAGCATTGTATATAATAATACACCCATACTCCATATATCACAAGCTTCATCATAACCTTGTTTCTTTAGCACCTCGGGTGCGACAAAGTTGGCGGTGTAACAGGGAGTCATGAGAAGGCCATTTCCCGCTCTCATTTGTTTGGCGAAACCAAAATCACAGATTCTTATTGATTGTGGGCAAGCCGAAATATCGGCGTACATTATGTTGGATGGTTTAAGATCGCGATGGACAACCTGAAGAAAAAAAGTGAGAGAGAGGAAAAAGAATCACATTAATCAATGGAAATGTACAATTCTGAATGAATGAAACAAAAAGAAAGGGGTAAAGGTCAGATTGAAAAAGAGAAAATTTAAAAATAGAATTACAATTTATATATTTCTCTTCTTTGGTTTTTTTCTACTGAAAAGACAGAACTTTTTTTCCAGAACTTCCCTTAGGAGAAACAACTACTTCCATTAATGGGATTCACATTAAAGAGATATAGAGAGATGATTTAGACTGTGATTAGATTAATTCACTTACTATTTAGTATTGATTAAATATCTGAACAAAATTTGATTAACCATGAATTAGTTAAGATAAATAATGTATCGTGCAAGTGAAAAAAAATAGAAAACAACAACAACAAGGTAAACATTAACACATAAATTATTTCACATGGATAATCATATACCTTTGGTATTACAGTTAATGTAAATTTATCATCATAATCAAGATGAAAATGATAATAATCAGGGATGATAATGATAATACATAAATCAATAAACTATCAGAATAATTTGCTTTTTTGTTCAACAGGAAAAGAGATTGAAAAAAAAATAAATATAAACTGAATCAATTCAATTGATGGTTAACATGTAAATTTGATACTATTGTTATAAAGTTTGCATGTAAAGTGAATATAATTTGAAAGTAGTAAAAAGTTAATTGTAAACTTTTCTCAATAGAAAATAATGAAAAAGAAAAAAAAATCTTTTCAATTTAAACGATAAATTGAAATGAATATGAGATATTATTTCTTGCTATCATGCATTTCAATTGAATAGAAATATCCTCATCATTTGCAACATCATCTTCTGTCCAAAATTGTGACAAAAAAAATTACAATAATAATACAATCTAACATATCAAATCCTAAACAAAGTATTATATAAATAAGATGATGAGATAACGGTAAATGTAGTGTGTAAAAAAAATGAGAGAAAGTGAAATGATGATGATGATATTTAAAAGAGGATACTTGATGTGAAGATGCTGGACACAAGGGAGTAAGAGAAAGGAATAAGATTGATGGATAAAGATGAAAAAAGGATAAAAGATGAGGATGGTAAATAGAATGGAACATTTTCTTTTTCAATGCATACCCCATTTTCGTGAAGATATTTGATAGTTGCCGCAATAACTTCAAGAACTTCACTGGCTTCTTTTTCGTTGAAACTTCTTTTTGAAAGTATACGGTCCAATAGTTCACCACCCTCAAGGAAATCCATGAATAAGTAAACACATTTACTATCCTCATAAACATCATGAAGAGTGACTATATTAGGATGTTTACCAAATCGCAAAAGTATTTCAACCTCCTCGGAGCAATCAAATTTCTGTCTATCAATGATCTGTATGAGAATAAGGAAGAGAAAATAAAGATCATCATGATTATTATTCCATGAGTATAAGATTGGTTGTATTTGGAAAGAAGATGAAGAGAAAGAATCGAGTGGGAGTTGATGAGAGAGTGAAAAAAATCGTAATTTCAGCTAAAAGTGAAAGTTAATGATAATAAGTGAAGAGTTTAATTCTTGTTGATTGAATAACCTTTGCTTAGGTGATAATCGAAATTGAGATTTTGTTCTTGTCATGAGTAAATTGCAAAAGATTGAGACTTTTTTTTTACTCCAAATTTGAGTGATTTGCAAACATGAGATTATATTTTCAGAATTTGAAAATTGCAAGTTCAATAAGTTCAATTTCGTTTGGAGAAAAAAAAATTTCATATTTTTTCCAGGCAAAGGTTACAAATGGATTTCCAATAATGATTACCAATATATTTTTCTTATCAAATTTCATTTTATGTTGTCTTGATTTTTTTGTTGCTCTTCAAGGTTATGAGTTGATCAGAATTGAGAGTGTGTGTAGAAGAGGGAGAGAGGTCAAGGTTATTTAGAATAAGGTGTAATAAGAGGCTTAATTCTTACCTTGACAGCGTATTTAACCTTAGTCTCTTTGTGAATACACATTTTACAATAAGAGAAAGAACCTTTTCCCAATTCTTTGCAAAATTCATATTCAACTAGAGATCTACCCATGCATTTAGATATGATTCCGGTTTGCTTGAGATGCAGGGTAAGGTTTATGGAAGCTTCATTTACCATCTTATCAATTTCCATATCGGTTTCATGGTTATTAACTAGACTTGGAGCAATAAAGCTGAATCCTTTGAAAAGTTCATGGGCATTGGCACTAGGAGGTACTCCAGGAGAGTCTTTAATAAGTGTGTAAGTTGATGTGAGAGAGTTAAGATAATTTAAAGATTGATTCATGTAAAAATCAGAATTAGAATGGTAATCAAATTTTTGGATGTAAAAAAGAAATACAGTAAACTTTTTAGCAGATTATGTAAATTATGTGCATTTAAAGTGGCTGAGAGAGAAAGAGAGAGAGAATAATTGACAGATAATCTCAAAATTCTGAATAATCTGAAAATTTTCAAAAATGAACTCAAGTAGACTTGAGAAAGAACATATATCAAAGTCTCTCTCTATCACAAAAGAAATAGAAAAATATATAAGTCATTTTCGGATTTATAAATGATCAAAATAAACTTTAAAACGATTAGTTATTAAGGTTGATTTTGTACGTATTCTTATGTATTTTTTTAGAATATGTATTCTTCTTACCTGCTTGTATTCTATGTACTAAATCGTGATCAAAATGAAATAGATCATCGTCACGAGCAACGGTGGGAATGTATGGTGGTGTTATCTCCTTTGCAGTTAACTTGTCGAATTCAATTGGCTCGAAAAATGCATGATCCATAATATCCCTACCACCATTTGGACCAGAACCTAATCGATTGGCAGGATTACGTTTGAATAAAGATCGCAATAGACACTGAGCTTGTGCACTTAAATATTGTGGCATCGCAATCCGTGCTCTTCATAGCGATATCAAGATGCGTGTCAAAAAAGGTGTTTTTTATGGTTTTAACATAAAAGAGAAAGAGAAAGAGAAAGAGAGAAAAGCGTGTTAAGTGTTTTTGTGTGAATGTGTGAACGTTTTGATTGGTTCGCAATTCATTAAGTGCAATGAAAAGTGCTAATAATATCTTAAGTTAACCATAGAAATTGAATTAGGTTAAGTGATGAACCTTTTCGTTTGGTTAGTAATATAATTATAAAGAGGAAATTATATTATATCTAAATACAGGGTAGTCTTTGAGAAAGAAGAGTTTAAATTTACTTGAGAATTTGGTGCATTGTTTCCTTTCTTGACCCACCCCGGAAGGGTAACACTCCGGTTAACATTTCAAACATAAGAACACCAAATGACCACCAATCAACAGCCGTTGTGTGACCTTTTCGGTTAATTATTTCCGGTGCCATATATTCAACTGTACCACAAAAGGAATATGTTTTAACCTCAGCAAGAGATTCCTTACTTAGGCCAAAATCGGTTAGTTTAATGTGACCTTCAGAGTCCAAGAGAATACTGGAGGAAATGTGAAAGGAAAAGAGAGAGAGAGAGAAATAGATGAGAATAAAAGATAGAAATTAATCAAGGTTAAATCATCATGATATTTACTTATCATCATCAATTTATGCTCAATCTAAACTTCATTAACATAAATTATCATGCATTGAAATTGATGAGAGATAGAGAAAGGATTAAATAGACAGATATAAATCTGAAATGATTGAGATTCTTAATTCCAATGGAAATTGAATAATCAGAAATTAATCTAATGATAATCAAATTGATAACATGTAATATTAATGATGGAACAATAAAAAGGGAACAAAAAAACCATAAGATGACTAACTTTTCAGGTTTAAGGTCTCGGTAAATTATTCCAAGTGAATGAAGATGATCCAAAGCAAGGACAAGTTCTGCAAGGTAAAATTTGACATCTTCCTCTGTGAACATAACCTAAATAATGGTGATGATAATGATACAGAGAGAGAGAGAGAGAGAGAGATTATATTAATAAGAATATACAAAAATCAGATGAATATAAAGGATGAGTGAGGCAAAGGAAGAGGAGGAGATTTAGAGGAAAAGGAAAAGGTAAGAAAATAAATGTTGATTGTAATGATAATATTATATTAATAATAATGATTGTCAGCGTTATTTACCTCACGATTTAACCTTGTGAACAGATCACCTCCATGCAGATAATCTAGAACTAAATAAAGTTTTCCTTCAGTTTGAAAGGCTGAAAAGAGAGAGATGATAAAATGAGCAAAACTAAAGTAAAGAGAAAAAGAAAGAGGTGAAAAGAGATTATGATGATGGAAGAAAAGGAAACATGATATATGATGTATTATAAGAGAAGATGATCAGCTGTAAACTAAGAATTATCATCATCTAGAAGACAAGCCAATTGATTTTGATTCTTTTGTTAGGTTGAAGAAGAAGAAGAATAAAAAAGCGAAAAGTTAATGTTGTCATTCATTTTCATGGAGATGAAGATGAAAATATATGAATATCTCTTAGCATGAATAGATGAGATTTTCTCAATGAGATGAAGAAGAAAAAAACAAAGTTGAAATTAGGTTTTTCTTTTGAAAAATAGTTTGTACATAGATAATTGAATATTGAATCATCATCATCATCATCTTTTTCATCTCTTAATCATCATTTTCCTCTTCCTGGATCCACCATAATCACATAATTTTCTCACCATCAACTTACCGTAATTAAGTTTCACTATGAATGGGTGATTAACCTCGGCTAAAATATCTCGTTCCATTTTACTTCGTTCTCGGTCACGAACTGCGAAATAGAAAAACAAAATTCAATTCATCTAGAAAAGAAGAAGAGAGATATTTGATTCTATGAATCAATAATGTAAATTGTTCTTCATTCTCCTCATGTCATCATCCAAATTAATATAATCAAAAGAATTAGAAATCATATAATCTCAATGATAATCGCCACTAGAAAAAGTCCACTAACAAATTGCACTGAAAAGATTTGCCTACTTGTTGATTTCTCTCTTTCAAAATGATGATGTTATTCAAGGATAATTACAACGATCAATGATCGAATAATCAATCAACTCAATAATTGACACATTGCAACAGGAAGTCAAATGAGAGAAAACGAGAGAGAGAGAGTGATAATATTATCAACACACCTTTTAAAGTTGCTTTTCTAAGGACTTTCATTGCGTATAAGGTTCCGGCATCAGGGCCAATTGTTTTCTTCACCAAATACACTTTACCAAATGAACCTTCACCAAGAACCTTTAACAGGGCGAATTGGCTTGGATCGGCTGCCGGGTGACCCTCTCGGGTTATATTGATCACCTCAATTTCTCGGATTGTTGATCCATCGGTTTCCATTGTTTTTGTACTTTGTTGTTTTCTTTTTGCAGAAAGTTTAACACTAGGGAGGGGATTTAAAAGCCTAATTTTTAGACAGACAATGGAAATTAGTCCTTGATTGGAATAAATCCTAATTTAATCCAGTTAAAGGCAAAAAGTTAACGATTGAAATGCACAGAAAATTTTGATATATCACACACATGAGATTATTCACAAGATTTTAACAAGAAAACACAGATTGAGGTTTTCTTTTTAACAAACTAATCAATGGATCAATTAAAACTAGAATATTAATTCAATTTAATAGAATAAGTGACAATTGATGTTGAGAGATTTTTGTGTTTCCCTCTGGTTTTTTCTTTCTCTCTCTCTCTCTTTCAGGCTTAGTGATTATTGTTTGACCAAAGATTTTTGGTCATTTAAACTGTTCTTTAATTGTTACACTCATATACATTTACTATGAAGGGAGAGGCAAAGAATTGTTTTCACTGGTCAAATTAAATGATTACAAGAGGGTGGGTGTTTATGTTTATGTGTTTTGATGGCGAATCCAAGAGATAATGTTGAACAAGTGAAAAGAATTGAAAATAAAAAGAAGTGAGAACAAAATTCTCTACCAAAAGACTTACCGGGATTTCTCTTTACCGATTCGCCGTAAAACATTAACCGAATTCGCTGAAAACCGACTCGATTTTCGATTTTAAATCGATTTTTTCTCGAATTCGAACTAAGAAAATAGTAACAATTTCCACAACTAGATGTCACTAGTGTTCTAATTAGTTTTTTCGCTCAATTGGAAAATTATTTTATTCTTAATTGTAATCAGGAAACAATTGAAGTAATTGAGAAAATTTCTAACGATCAGATAATTAGATGAATAAAGATCAATAAGTTAAAAATATAAATGGATTGACAAAAATTTCGATAACATCAAGTCTCCGATTCTTTGTGTTGATTTCATCTAAATGTTTAATTGTGAATAATTTAGTATAATTAATTGTAGTTTTATAGGGAACAATTAATTGACTCAGTGTAAGATGATTGAGATAATTAAAGTTAATTTTCTGTAAAAGATCGTTGAGTCCACTTTTTTTTTCTCGAATTCAATGAAATATTATGTATGAGATATTTTTCGATATTTTTGTAAATCAAAGTTACGATTTGATATTTTCATGGTTAAATTAAAAATTTGTTTCGAAATTAAACTTTTAAATGACCTGAACAGTTTCTAATTATCATAAATCACCATGTGAATTATTAGAATGGAAAATATAATTTAGTTTTGAATCAAGTGTAATTACAAATCGACTAACCAACTAAACAAGAACGAGGACTAAATATTTGAAATGAACGATAATTAACTAAAAATACTAATTACAATCAATCAGATGATCAACTAGTCAGTAAGATTAACGTTGCAACAGTTACGATCGTTATAATCGTGATTAGAATTGTAAAAGTTTAAATGAGAAGCAAAATTTTGGACAAATGAAATTAATGATCATCCCAGTGAATTTTGATCAAATATATAAACTTGTAATCATTTTTATATAATATTTATAGTAATTTATATAAAAAGCATGTTAATTTTTGTCAATTGGTGTTGAAAACGATATAATAACAATTTGATTGTTGACAAAAAAAACGAGTGAGATAGAGAGAAGGAGAGAGAGAGAGAGAGAGAGATAGACAACATTTGATTATACAATTTAACAATAAAATATAAATCGTTAATTTTTCTCCCTGATAATATAATAAGACAAATTCAGGAATCTAAAATCAATGAATTATATCAATTATTGTGCTAATTATATATATATATTTATAAGAATCAATTGATACGTTGGCCAATGGAAATTGATGATGATGTTGTTGTTATTTGTTGATTTGAAACTTTTATGATCTTCAATCACAATTGATTGGATTGTTGTTTCAATTGTAGAGAGATTTTCTTTGTTCCTTGTTTGTTGTGGTTGTTGTTGTTGTGTTAATTGGTTGAGTTTAACTTAAATAAAAATTATAATATAATAATAATAATAATAATATATAGATTTTTGTGTTGATCTTGTTGCGTCTTAATGTCTTTTCATATGAAGCGATAGGTGATCTGAGCGTGAAAAAGACCGTTGACACAATTGACACTTGAATGGTTTCTGTCCGGTGTGTTTTCGATAATGGCGTGTTAATTCATCTGAACGTGCAAACTTCCATGTACAACCCTCCCAATTACATGTATATGGCTTTTCACCTGAAAGAGCAAAAATTAATCAGTCAATCAGATAAACTTTTTGGAATTTTTTGTTTTCTTGGTTTTTTTTTTGGTTATTTTTTTTTGGGTGGAGTTTTCCAAAGTAAAATGGACACTCTACCTGTGTGAGTCCTTTTATGTGCTTTTAGATGTGAGCTTTTGGTATACACTTTTTCACACCCATCAAAATCACATTTATGCACTTTACGTCTCCTTAGGCTTTCTATGTGACAATCAGATGAGGAACTTGATAATGATGGTTCATAAGATGCTGAAGGTGAACGATTAATTTGTATTGAATTAGGTTGTATTGTTGTAGTTAATGATCCAACAACCCATTGGAGATTCTCTCGATCACCTGTTGTATATATATAATATCATACAAGATAAAATAGAAGATGGAATAAATAAATTTATATAAATCATCACAAAATAGAAGCGAGAGAGAGAGAGAAAGAGATAGAGATAGAGAGAGAGGGAGAAAAGAAAAGAGAGATACAAAGATAGAGATAGAGAGAAAGAGAAAGAGAGAAATAGGTAAAGGAAAAGGGAAAGAGAGGAAACACCATTAGAGAATAAGAAGAGTGAGAAGAATAAGAAAAAGAAGAGAAGAAGAAGAAGAAAAAACAAAGATCACCAGAAAGAAAAAAGAATTTACAAAAAAAGAAAAGAATTAAAAAAAACCACTTGCAGTATCTTTTGATGACAGATTCCTTGTAATTTAATTTTAATGGACCAGGAGCACGTATCCTAACGGGTAGTGTAAGATCAAGAATACATTCGTTGTCCGAATCTTCTGGAGTCATAAGTGTTAATTTATTTAATTATCAGTTCGAGTTAATGAAAAGAAAAGAACAAACAAAAAATAAAGACAACAAGGATAAACAAACGTAAAGAATAAGTCAGACTCGGATTATTTAATGAGTGACGAAAGTGAAAAAAATTTTCTCATCCGCACAAAGAACCGAAAGTGTCGCCATCTCTCGACTTATTAGGGAACTAAATTACCCGCGAAACTTGAAAACTTCGAATTTCATCTCATTCGTTGGCGAATTTCTTGATTTTCTGCTCTTATCTTTTTTTTTGTTGATTGTTCTTCTTTTCATTTTGAGACGGGAAGTTAATTCAGTTGTCTCATGATGATCTCTCATCGATTGTTAGTTGATGATGATAATGTTTTATGATTCGATTTGATAATTGATAATCATCTTCTTCTGCAATTTGTAAATCATATGATGAAAGAGGATCAACTTTACCTTGATTGTAATGATGACACATTTTTGATTGATAAATCATTGAGATTTGATTAACTGGTAATTAACAGTTTTAATTTAATTTGCGAGGTTAAGAGCAATCTAAATAACCTCTAATAGTTGTTGATTGTTATAATTAAATGATTATCGGTTTATTTATTGATGATGAAATTGTTTTGATCATAATTGTAATTGTCATTTTAAAGTTTGGCTTTTGATTAAGAAACAAAATTAAAAACAATTTAGTTAATTGTTAAGATTTACAGTAGCAATAATTACAGAAGCTTTTTTTTTTAAAAACGGTTAAATTAACTCAATTAACTGTTGTTGTTTTTGTTGATTATGATGAACTGATTTAATTTTAATGATGAATTAGCAACAATCAATGAATGTGTTGTAACCATTTATTAATTATAATTATGTAAATCAAAATTGATTGATAACATGAATATCAAGTTGAAAAATAACAAAATTAAGGTTCGTTCATGATAATTAAGTTAATTTACTTTGATTATAACATCAAATTTTAATGAACAAATTAATCAGTTTGTTAATTGTTATTTTATATTTGATTATTTTTAATCATTTTGAGTATAAACAATCAAGCAAATTAGAGGACAAAATGTTAACTATGGTGATAAACTAACAATGGTCACCAAAATGATTATTTAAGCTCAACAATTAAATTAGATTTGATTTACTAATCATCATGATAATCAGTTAAATCGTGACTCATGAAACTTTCATGATTAACAATTAATAGTTAATTGTAGAAATTTAAATCTAATAATAATAATAGTAAAAAGTTTTCCAATTCATCATAAATGATAATAAAGTAAATTGATTATCTTAAATCCTAAATGATGATGATTAAATTGTTTGTTATTAATTATGATAACAATTTCCCAAAATGTTTACCCAATCCAACAATTAACTTTTTAATGTTTACAGTTAATTAATCATTTAATTACATTGATGCAATTTAATAACAACAATTAAAGGTCATGTGAAAAACTTTACCAACTTTTCATTTCATCATTTTAATATTTTAATGTGACAAAATGTTGATCCAACCAAATCAATGATCAATTTCAATCAATCGTAATTCAGATAATTAGATTAACAGTTAACAATTGGTCAATTTGGATGCTGATTGTAAATTAGAACGTTAGTCAATCGCAACAATTAACTTAATTCTCATTTAAATAGACGAATATTAATAAACACCCTAGTTAACATGATCGGTGGTCTCTCACCCTACCCAATTTCCCTTGAACCTTACCCTTGACGATCCCCACCCAGTCACACCCTAATCTTTTGATGATGAAGATGAGGATGAGGATGAAGAGGATGATCATCATTACATTTATCATCTTCTCTTTCTTGACATCACTTTCCTTGAGAAAAAAAATCCGAAAAAAATGATTTTCTTCAATTGTAAATCTTTCCCAGAATTGATGACAATTAATGGATTAACTTTTGAGCATCATCATCATCATCATCATCATCAACATCATCATCTTGATCATCTTGATCATCTTAATCAAAGTAACATCATTTATTTATCAACTATTTAGTTGGTCATCAAAACTAATCACGCAACAACAATTTAATTTACCACACCTTTGTGTATGATTACAATTAAAAAGGTTAACTTGACAATATCGTGTTGAGATAATCAACAATTAACCAACGTGTATGTATGTAATTAACTAATTACTATTATACTACAATCTAATACCAGGGCAATTTATTTATAATTGTAAGTTTATTTATTTTCAATTGTTTGGTAAATTAAATCAATGATTTGAGAAAAGTGAAAAATTTAAAATTAAAAGTTTTTTTTGTCAAAATGTTAATCAACTTAACGGTTGTAGGAGTAACAATTAACTGTCTGCTTTAATTAATTTCATTCATGGTTCAACAATTAAGTAATATGTATTATTATTATAACCTTTTTCATTGATTCATTTAAATTGGTTGATTGTTTCATCAATACATTAATGTATAATTAAATTTACCTGTTTGAATTTAGTTTGTATTCACACAAACAATTAACTAATTCCTAGAGTTTAAATACATTACAACAATCAACTAATCATTTTCTTATGTGATTTAATTTGTTTATTTTTAATTCACTTCCTTGATAAATAATAATTAATATAAATATAGTAATAAGTTAATTATCACCACGAATCAAAATCAAATGAAACATTTTTTTGTTTATAATTAACTTGATGATGATCAATGATAATCTTTACCAATCAATTCTGTTGGTTGATTGTTAATACAATTTCAAATTTAATAAACAATCAATTGTTTACTATTTAAAAAATGAGATTGGAAAATGTTATTTTGATTATGTTTAAAGTAAAGTAAGTTATCATTAACAATCAGTTGATTGTTAAAGCAACATGTTTATTGCGTGTTAATCATTTAAACAATAATGATTGAAAATATATATTTATTAATACATATTAACCATACTTTGATTACTATGTGAATGATTAGTTAATTGTTTTCATATTGTATAAACATAGTAGCCGATTTACCAACTAATTGTGACTGTTATTACCTTAATCCACCTCTAACAATTAAATCAAGGATATGAAAAAGTTTTCACAATCAAACACATAACCAGAATAAAGTAAAGTAAAAATTTACTATTGATAAATGATCAATACTTTAATTGTTATTAGTTAAACTTGAATTCAATTCAATTTTCAACTAAATTGTAAGTTTAGTAATCAAATAATAAAATGGTGATGATGATAATTTATATATATAAATTGTTAATCTTCATCTATTCAATGGCCTAGAAAAAAAATTTATTAAATTTCAAGATAATCTTCAATTTTGATCCAGGATTAACTCCCAATGATTAAGAGGATGATGCTGATGATGAGGATGAATTAGATGATTAAAAAATGATGATGAAGATGAGGTCAAAATCATCTCAATCAATTAGCAGTATGTTTATCATTTGTATCTTTACCTGTTAGTTTAGTTTTTGCTTACCTGTTGATGATGAGGATGAAGATGAAGATGAAGATGAAGATGATAGTCATCTTGAATTTCATTCATGACAAAACAAATGACTTTAAAATGTAAATAACAATTTACAATCAATTAAATGATTAAATTCCTTAAGGTAAATTAACTGGGAGGTTGTTGTTCATTGATATGAATAATAATCAACTAAATTGTTCAACAATTAACCCTCGGGTGTAAAGAGTAATATACAATGTACTTATTGTGATATTTTAACAATTTACAACTTTTGTAACATTCAAAAGTTTCAAGTTTATTCATACAATCAAAAAGCAAATAGAAAAGTAATCATGATAATCAGTTGATTGTTTGCTCGACTATTCAAATTATACTCATTATATTTTCCATGGAGATTCAAACTATTAAAACTTATCGATTGATATTCTTACCGGTTGTTCGTTTAGTTCTTAATTAGTAGTTCGATTGGATAGGAATAGAATTTCAATGGAATTGGAAATTCTATCGAAAAACTTTCAAGATAATTTTCTTTCGTTTCGATTATTATTGAAATTTGTGAATTTGACAAAATTTCAAGTATCAGGAGGAAAAACATGGAATAACAATCTAAGTACAAGGGCCTCCAAAAGCTCCTAGAGCATTAATCACATGACATTGAACATTACTGACGAAGTATCAGAATTTTGAACATAAATCGTCATTTCAATTGACCATTTCATTGAAAAGTTCGTAATCAGAGTTGTTGTTTCACCTTCGATGAAAATTAATAAGATTAACAATTACAACTAAATTTAGTTAATCTTGTTGTTCATTAGGTAATTTGATCATAAATCACAGGTTATATTATAATCAATCCAAAGGTAAATTATTTAAATTGTTAAATCATTTGATTTGATTGTTCATTGAGGATACAATTTGAAAATGTGAGTGTAGGTATTTCAATGATCATCGTGATTAATTTAATAATCATGAAGATGATCATTCCAGTGATCAAGGTTATCAATATAATGGCTTGATTAAAGATGATGACTGACTGTTAATTGTGACAATCAACAAACTATTCCCAGGGCGTATGTGTCTTAATCATGATGATTAACGAGAAGAGCAAGAAAAAATTTAATTCAGTTACAATTTAGTAACATTGAAAGTAAATCAACTAGTTATGATAATTAACAGGACATTTGAAATTGATTATCAACAATAAACTACATTTGATCATTATTATTATTAAATGATTCTTATTCATGTTACAATTTTATTGGAACAATTTATTTAATAATAATTAATTCACGTTTTCAAGGTTAATTAGTGATTGAGTTAATCAGAGTTTCCACTCGTATCAAAACTATGGTAACAATTTAATTGGTTTTCTAACTGTTTTAGTTTCATCAAATGTTTACCTAATTATATGATTAAGATATTGAGACAATTGAATTTTATCATTGATTTACTACCATCGGAAACAATTAGTTGATTGTTACCTTTTATTTTTTGTTTCTTCAACTAATTGAAATCGTAACAATTACTAAACTAATCGATGCACCAATTCATCAAATCAACTTCGTGATTATCAATTTCAATTAACTTTTTCGTATGGTGATAATAGATCACACTAGCTAATACTTTAATTAAATCCAATTAAGTTTAGCTTTTTCGTATAATCAATTATTCATATTAATAATTTAAAAATCAAAGCAATTTATTAATACATGTATATTGATATGATCAGAGTTAATCATTACGGTTTGATCACAGTTATAATCAGTGCCTGAAGCAATTATAACAACTGATTTATGGGAATCCTAATGTCTATTGAAATTGATAATTATTTCAAGTTATTTAATCAGAATGAACAATCAGAATAAGTTTAATCATTAGAATAGAAATAGTCAGATAACTAAATACTTTCACTCTAAAAATTAACAACAACAATTAACGAAATATTTTGCGATTTTGGTCATTCGATTGTTGAAAATTCGTCCCGTAAATTGAACATTGCGATTGAACAATTGACAAAATTTCCATTGAAAGGTTCATAGTTACGATCAATGATGTGATTTTAATGACAATTATTTAATTGTTTACTTTAGTTGTTAGATTAGTTAGTTGATTGTTGTTTGTTTGCTTTTTGGTTTATCCATTTGGATGTCACTTTGTAAGGGAAAAAAATGCAACTTATTCAAATTGGAAAGGATAAATCACCTCGCTAATCACAATTAACTTGCCCTTAGGGTGGAAAATTAATTCTGCTAAATTGCAATAATACAGAATGAAGAAAAAGAAGAAGAAAAAAGTTATAATCAAAATTAATCTTTATTACTATTGCCTTGATTTAGTTAATTCAGTTAATCACTTTAATCACATTCAGTGAAATATGATGATTCCTTTTAATCTGTTGGGTGGGTCAACCTTTTTGGTTGAATTTCTGTTTGTTTTTTTTTTTGAAGAAGAAAAATTTTACTTTTGTACTTGGACTTTAATTATATAAATATAATCAATTAACTGCAATTAAAGATGATTAAGGTTTTACAATTTTCTGTTTGTAAAAAAAAAACGATCATAATCATTGACAATCCAATTGAATCCTTCCTACTCCTCCCACTAAGGGTTGTGTCCAGTTAAGGTTGACCATCAACCAGAATTATTTGAATAATAATAATGATCAAGGCAATGAAGGAAAATGAATCAATTTCTAACAGTTCAATTAGACAATCGTTGGCAACAATGCCGACGACAATGATTGGGTTAATTATTGTTGTCGATTACATTGTAATTTAAATGACCATTGGTATGTTAGGTATGTCAACACTAACAAGATTGATTATCTAATTGGTGATGATGAGAAATCCAAAGATATTTTGATAATCATCATTTTCTTAACGGTGGGAACTCAGCCTGAAGCTTTTACAATTCTTATATCATTTTTCCGCAGTGTACCTGTCACGATCTATCGATTTGTTCAGAACTTTTAAAACTGAACCATTATCATGATAATTAATATTAGACTTAATTAACATGGAATGAGAGAGAGAGAGAGAAACTGTTTAGTTTTTAGTTTCATCAAATTATATTAATGATAATTTAACTAGTCCATCATGGCGGAGATATTTTCGTTAGGTGTTGGCCTCAAGAAACCCCCTTGGCTTGGAAGGTGAAAAGAGGTTGAGAGAGAGAGAGAGAGATGAAGATGATGATGAAGATGAAGATACTGAAGAAAAATTTTCTCAATATAATGATATAATAATTAACTTAATCATCCTTTTTTTCAATGATCGTCATCATGTATCAATGGTTATTTTGAATAATTGAAATTGAACATGTTTCTTGATTGTTGATAGGATTAGATTGATTTGGATAATAAGTGAATTAGTTTCTAAATATATCATAACCTTTTTCAAGATGATAATTTACTTAAATTACTAGGGAGTTACCAGAATAATTGAATTTTCATTCAGATTTATATCACAATTTGAAAGTGTACCTTTTTTTTTATTTACGGTGGAAAAGCAAATCATTAATGGTTATCATCTATTGACCTGATAATCATTGAAAATACCCTGTTGATTATTTACACCTTAATGTCATCATCTAAATCATGATTCTGATTATCATGAAAGAAACAGAAATGATAATTATCATGATAATCAGCATAGATCTGATTACAATCAAAACTTGAATAGCTTTTAAGTTATGAAAACTCATCGGAATCAACTTGTGATGATGATCAACATAATCATAATCATAATCATAATCATACTAATTACAATTAACCAACGAATCAACTGGTTAACTATGATAAGGAAGATGATCAACAATCGTAATCGCCAATCAAGATCACCTTGGGTGGAAAAAGTTGTAAATTATTATAATTTAAAAGCTCAACATGATGAAAACCAGTTTGTTTTATGTTGATAGTCAACCAAACAATCAACTAACAACAATCAACTAAGATAAACTATAAGAATCTAATCATGGTGATAACAATCAATAGATACAAATATATAACTAACGATACAACAATCAACTAATCACAAGAGAAATTATAACTTTTTCATCTTAAATTGATACCTTTAGTATCTCAATCAGTGTTGAATGTGAAAAAAAAGATCAATGATTAAGATGATAATCAGTACAACAATTTAAACGATATCAATACAAATACTATCAAAATGGTTGTATAAAAAATTAAGTATCATCATCACAAAATCAAGGTAACAATCAATTTAAATGTAAACAAGAAAAACTAAAACAAAATAGTAACAGAAAGTTAATTGTAACAATCAGATGAGATGATTGTTGAAGGAAATACAATTACGAACTGTATTAATATGAAACTACCTGTTGATTTATTTGATGGTGATTAGAGATGATTAATATATACAACGATCAATGTTAATAATCAATTGTTACGCTGAATTTTAATATAAGTCTAACAATTAAAGACCAGGAAGTTGTAAGGTGAGGTTAAAGAGTCCAGGGGAAAATAAAGGTCAGGTCAATGTGAATGACCTTAGGCAAAAAGATGAGGTGTAAATATAACAATTCTCAATGTCTATGTAAATCTGTTATCCACCTTAAGGAAAAAGGAAGTGACAAGAAACGGAAAGTGTAAAGGTCACAGAGGAAGAAGAGGAAAAAAAAAGTTTCGATCAACTTAAATATCGACCTTAAAGTTTACCTTTCGTTTTTTTTTGTTTGCTATTTTCTTACACAGGTAAATGATTATTTGATTGTTACCTTTATATGTATGTTTTTATCATCATCATCTAAACACATACGACACACAATATGTTGTGTCAAAGGTAACAATAAGGTGAATCAATTGATTTCCCATGGTGGCTTATGTTTAATTTACATAGGTCACCACCTTCAGTATTCACCATTCACCTTACCTGAAATTGGGTCAACATTGAGTTGATTATTTTTTTCTGCTTTTCCTTGGATTTGTATTCATCTGTTTCCGGGTTTGAAAATGAGAAAAAAAAACTAAAATAATATTCAATTTGTAACTCCAATGACCGGAAGATTATTACCTTTGTATTTCCGGTTTCTCTCTATCACTTATCATTACTATTTATGGTTATCAGGTACATTGACCTAACTGTTAGACTGACCAATAGTATTTAGAAACACCCTCGTCACCTTGTTAATATTATTTTCTTATTATTATTATCTTATAAATGGTCACTATTGGTCATCATTATCGTTGTATCGTTTTATCAATGAAAATCAATGTTTCATTGACCAACTTGACCCTTTCATCTGGTACTTATTTTATTATTATTATATTGTGATCGTTTTATTTTTAGTACTAATCAGAAACACCTTTTCAGGTCATACGAATATCAAACTGACCATTAACAAACTGACCCCTACTAACGATTGTACCTCAAAAGAGCAAAAAGGTTTGAGCAAAATTCAAAAGAGCAAAGGATTAAAATAGCAAATCAATTTTAAGCAAATTATAATAATCCTTTTAATTTTCAGAATATGTTAAGACAATTAACTTGTTTGTCTCTTAAACAAGTTACTGGTTTTGATTGTATTGAATTGAATTGATTTGGGTTGAATCAATTGTTTTGGTTTGTTTTTCATTGATTTGATTTGAATTGATTTTCAATTAATTCATAATGATGATGATAATTTAATAATTTATTTCAGGTTTATTCCCAATGGATTAATGTGATAATTTCATCGATTTGGTTTATTTTTTTTTCTTCATTTGGATTTCAATTAAATTATTACTTATCAGATGTAGTTTATTTAGTGATAAAATGGAACTACTATTACATTAGTTGGCATGAGTTATTATTTGTGATTACAGATTTGATTTCTCTCTCTCTCTCTCTCTCTCTCTCTCTCTCTCTCTCTCTCTCTCTCTCTCTCTCTCTCTCTCTCTCTCTCTCTCTCTCTCTCTCTCTCTCTCTCTCTCTCTCTCTCTCTCTCTCTCTCTCTCTCTCTCTCTCTCTCTCTCTCTCTCTCTCTCTCTCTCTCTCTCTCTCTCTCTCTCTCTCTCTCTCTCTCTCTCTCTCTCTTATACAAAATTTCAAGATAATTTTACATATTTAATTAAGTCTAAATATCTAATAGCTGTTATCTCATTACTATTATATTGATTCTTTAGGTCATCAAATCTTTTTTCGATTGCTTCTCTTTTTTTGTTACGCTTTAATACTGGTTGTCCACTCAGGTGTGTAGCTAATTTGGTCTCTTGATAGATATTTTGACTCATTATTTTCTTTATGAATATCCACAGGTTAGGATGAGCCACTTTAATCGAATTGTTTAAGAGATTATGCCATCCTTCGATGTGATTAGTAGTTCTCGGTCCATTGTTACTTGAATGGTTCCAAATGTCGTTAGGAAATCTCGCAGCGTCTTTGAAAAAATTATCATAAAAATATTCCAAAAGCGCGTCCATCTCATTATCTTCAGGTGCTTCGGCCACTACGATTTCAAAAACTTCAGCCAAGTCTTGATATTTGATAAGCGGTAAACTTTGTAATCTTTTAATCGTCTTTGTGTAACGATTATCATCTCTTTGTTGGCATCGATTGGTTAGCCCAAGATTTCCGACCTTTCTTCTGATACATTGGGCAAAATGAAACATACACCCAGTGATTTGCGCTTCAGGATATTTCTTTTTGATTGTTGATATTACTGCAATCTCGAAGTCAATCGAAAACGTTTTAGGCTTGAAGATAATTCCATGGTAATTAGCATAATTCTCAATAATTTCGAAAAGCCTTTCATAAGTTCTATTTCTCTTATCAGGAAGAAGACAATAAATGACAGGAACCATCAGCTTATTTATCATTACATGTATGGTATATATTTGATAGAAAAGTTTCGGACAGGATTTGAAAGTTCCATCCATATAAATATTATCAGCTTCGGCTAATCTCTGGAAAGATTTGAAACTTCCAAAAACTAATATTCGATCACCTTCACCTTCATCAGCAATTAAGAAATTTTGTCCATTTGGTAAAACTTTCATGTCATTGGGAAGGTTAATTTCCTCTCTTGAAGCAGGTAACTTTGGAACCATTGACAACTTTGATCTCGATATTGTTGGTTGAACACTAATGAAAGGTTTAATTGCACTGGCTATTTGATCATCACTTGTATTTAATTTATCACGGAGTGATTGTGTTGATGAAGTGTAAATATTAAGTCCAGTTTCCGTTGGATTTTCAATCACTTTCTCCTTAATTATATTGTGTTGATGACGTTGGATAACTTTCGCTTTATCTGGTTCATGAATATGATCACTATTAATTGTGAACTTTCCATCATGAAGTTTACCCCTCACTTTACATAATTTAGTTTCACACGTCCAATAAGATGTTGTTCCATAACTTGACTTCTTACGATATACGTAATCATATTGTACTATTAAATTATGGCCCTTATTAGATTCGATTAATTCGTAAGACATTTTATTGATGTGAATCAAAAACTATTTCAAATGTTAGAAGTTTCAACTGGACAGAATAATTTACTCTGAAGTCTATTTTGCTTAAACAGATTTTGCTCTTTTTATTTTTTGCTCTTTTGAATTTTGCTTAAACCTTTTTGCTCTTTTGAGTATCTCCCCTACTAACTACTTGTTGCCAACAGTTTTAATCTTGTGTGACCTTTTTTTTTGCAAATCTTTTTCACAATGATATTGACCATTAGATGGACATTATTGTTATCCTTTTGTTATCATGCTTGACCATTGTCCAGAATCATCTTTCTCTCTGTTCCTTATATTTAAATTTAGTTTCATCTGATAATAGACAATGATGATTGATTTGATTTAGTTTCCTGTTCAATTGATTGTTACCTTTAATTCATCAGATTATCAATTGTCCATTTATCTGTTTACCTTTTTGCTTACCTTGTAAAACTATTGACCAGTATATTGAACCATATTCAATGAATTGATTATGATTAAGATCAAATTTTGATTCGTAATTAATTGATTGTAATAAGACAAAACAAACAGAAAATGTACTCGGAAAATTTTGATTGGAGTTAAAGTTAATTAATTATTAACTGTATATATGATATTAGTTAAAACTGGTTAATTTGGTTACAACCTGTCAACAATTAACATAATAAACAAGTTAATCATAATGATAATGGTTGACTGGATTTAATTTTAATTGTAAAACAAACAAAATGTGACAGTTAATTTGTTGAGTCTCAATTTTTTTTTACTACAGAATCAAATTAACCTGAAGGAATTGATTTGTAAATTGTTTTTGATATTAATTATGAAAACAATTTAGCAATCAATCATGGTGATGATGTAAATGATGATGATGATTATGATGATGATTAGAGTGAGGGAGGGAGGGGATAAGCTTAATCCCAAGGAGGAGGAGGAAAGGGATTAAGAAGACAGGAATTAATTTGTTGTGATGAATAAAAAAAGTTCAATACAAACAGTAACTGTTTTCAGGATAATACATGATGATGATGATGATGATAGACAGATGATAAGTGGGGATGAAGGTAGATGATGATGATAATGATGATGAAGAATGGATTATCATCTAATCACATTGATTAGCATAATCATTTGGATATAATGAATCACGCTACTTGATAATCTTCATATATATTCAATCAAAATGGTAACTACATTTATCATCATGATTATTGAAAAGTGTATGGGGAAAGTAATTTACTTGATTGTTTGTTGATCAAATTGTTAATAGTTGGTGGTCTTGATTAGTTAATCAATTTAATCATCATTATTCATTTGGATAAATGTACAGGTACTGAAATGTTTATCGTTGTGGTGAACAAAAAATAGCAACAAAAACAACAGTAAATTAATTGTTAAGGTTAATTGTTGAATCTGATTGAATTTTTCTATTATAATTTACTGATTGTAATATGATTAATTCAAAATTATCATTTTGATTACGATTGATTGTTATTGATGATTAATCAGTGAGATTAAAAACTTTTTTTACCAGTGAAAAAGTTTTGTCAAGATAATAAATTGTTTCGAGTGATTTATGTATAAGTGAATGTAAGTTAATTAACTTTAATTGTTAATCAATTTTAAGGACCATTGGAAATTAGATTTAGTTTTTTTTTTGGAGAGAAAAATGTTTTCCAATGAAAAACAAGTGAGAGAAAAAAATTTTCTGATGAAAAAGATTAACATGATTAAGATTAAGGATGAAGATGAAACAGGTTAAAGGGGAGGCAGAGATTAAAGGTAAAGATGGAGACTCAGGTAAATATTATTGGAAGAAGAAGAGATTAATCTTTCTCTTTATCTTCATCTTTTATCCACCGGTGGGTTCACTCAGTAGGTTAAGATGGAGAGTAGAGTTCATGGTGGGTGAAGAAGAAGAAGAAAAAGTTTCACCTTTCCATTCACTTTTCTCTAAGGTAGAGATAAATTCTTATGAGATTCATTGGAATCGTCGATTTGGGAGACCGATAATTCACTGATTAATGAGTATCTTCATCATCTTCTTCATCATCATCATCATCTTAATCATCATTATCATCTTCATCTTCATCTTCTTCAGGTAAAATTGCAAACAAACTTTAAAGAAAACACCAAGATCCCTTCAAGGTATAACTTTGATTTTGAACATGATCGGAATACGCAATTGAAATTAAGTGTTGTTATTATTACTGTTGATTGTGATCATCATGATAATCAGTATCATCATCATCATCATCATCATCATCGTCGTCATCATCTCCTAGTTGTTAGTTAATCAATCTGAGAAGTTAATTAGCAATTGATTCTGATCATCTGATTGATTTCCATTGGTTTTTTTTAGTTTTTCACTTTTTTCCCAAGAAACTTTTTCTCTGATTAAATTTAATTGCTGATTCGGGATAATTTCTTGTAGTTAATTCAGTTTAGATTATCATTTTCCCGATTGTGATGATTTATTTGTAAATTTTTAATTATTACAAATGATTATGATAACCACACACACACCTTAACACATGAACGGTAACAATTAAATTAAATGTGAAACTTAATTGTTGGTCTATTGTTGGTGTGTTAATTAATGGCTTGTTTTTTTATTTAATTTACTTTACAATCAACTGATTAACAATTTAAGTTAATTGATCAACACTGACCACACCTTATTAACAGATTAACTTTATTAATAATAATTTAAATTTCAGTTAATCAGAAAATTTTACACAAAAAAACTTTTTCTCTTAATTGTTAATTCAGTTTAGATTAACAATTTAATTTTTTTCTAAACATCAAGTAAGATCAACATCATTAACAATTAATTAACTAATTGTTGGTTTTTACAGTTTTGGTTAAAACTTTTCAAGCTTCTTAATCAACACTTAATGAAAGTTAATTGTGTGTTCATCAAATTATCAACATGTAAATTAATCAATTCTGTTAATCATTTAAATCAACAATCAAGTAAATTGATTATAACAAAAAAAAAAGTTATTTCTTCAGATGAAATAATCAGAATGAAAAGTTTGATATTATCAATATAATCAAGGATTAAGTGTTAATTTAATTTGATAACAATTAAGGTGTAGTTAATAAATGAATTAAAAAGGGGAGAGGATCAGATGGAAAACAATTAAATCTAATTATCATCTTTATCCTTAATCATCTTCAGGTGATTAAATGATAATGTTAATCTTTAAAATAAAAATGATCATCTTGATCCTCAAAATGATGATTAAGTTGATCCGTTTATTAGGTCAAAATAAAAAGGGAGGGAAAAGATTAACAGATTATCATCTTAATCTTGTCCGTAATTAAATTAACCATAAATTTTGCAACTTTTTTAGCAAACAAAATAATTTATTATCATGATGATGATGATGATGGGAGGATGAGGATGAGGATGAGGATAAGGTGGAGGGTGGAGGGTGGGGAGGGTTAAATGAAAGGAGGAAGAGGATCAAGAGGAGGCGGCGGGAAAAGCTGAGTTACAAACATGTAAACAATTAAGAGTAACCTTTTTGATTGTGATGTAATTTGATTGGGTTGTTAATTGAATTTCTAGGCGTAAAAAGATTTAGGTGAACAATTTGGTTGAATCGTTGAAAATCACGATTAAAGTTAATTTAATTTAACAATTTAACATTTTTCGTTTACTCTCTTGATTGTTTGGTGTTTAATTTTGTTTCTTTATGATTTAATTAAAACAATTAAATCACTTTGGGTTTACTTTTATATGGTCAACGGTGGGGTAAGAGGATGGAGAGTGGATTCAGTATAACATGATGATGATTATCATCCTCATCATCATCAAGGGTGGGAGAGGTTCACGATCTTGGGGTGGGGGTGGGAAATCCGTGAAACACGCGGTGGGCTAATTAGCATAATTATTAATAATAGTAATTCAATTAAGGAAGAGGATCAAGTTGATGATCAACATTAAATTTTTTGTTGTTTTGATTCTGAGCTTTTGGATTCACTATCAATGTGGTTAATCAATTGATTACTAAAGTTTGTTGATTGAAATTCAAATGGTTTATGTTTTCTGATTAATTTACTTTAATCACAATTGGATTAACTATTGATGATATTAAAGGATTTTGGGTTAGGTTTTGATTAACTAAATCAGGGAAAAAGGGTTATCATTAGTTAGGAATGACCCTTGGTCATCGTGATTGTTATTATTTAAATTAATCGAAAACCTTTAATTTAATTTAATTTTCTTTCCCTTCTTTTGGGTTTGGTTGATTGTTACAGAGATGATTACAATTTATTGTACTAAACAACACACACAATTTAATTGATTATTTAATCATAATCATTATCTCATGTTAATTGTAATAATAATTCAATCAAATTTACTATGATATTAAATAATTAATTACTAATTGTTTACCTTTTGATTACCTTTAGTTTAAATTATTCAAACATCAATCAAATTTTATCATAATCATCAAGTTGATTACATAAAGTAAATTTAAATTTAAATTTCCTAATTGCTGGTTAATATTAATAATAAAGAAAAAAAAATAATTGAAACAATCAAAAAATTTCAGACAATTCGATTACATTGGTAAAAGTAAATTAAAACTTTCAAACTAATTGAAAATTAAATGTTATTATTAATAACAATTAAGTAAATGAAAACAAAGTTTCAATCATTTCAATCCAATAATAATAAAATCAATGTAAAGGTAAAAGTTAATTGCTACCAATTGTAATTAAATTGTTGTTTCTCATTATATATAAAATGAGTGGGAATTGCAAAACTAATAGATTGAGACAGTTAATCATGACATTAATCAGATAATCAAGTTAATCAAATGAATCAAATACAATTATCATCAATATCTCATTGGGTGTGGTGTCATTTTCATGTTGAGTTTTGGTTGATCATTGAAAACAAAAATACTCACTGATGATGGTGAAGATGAAGATAACGATGATGATATTGTGTATTATCAACAGTATTTATCTATTTATTATCATCATCATCATCATCATGACCCAGCCCTTGAGTTTCCGCAGAGAAGATAAGAAGAAGAAAAAAAAACCGAATCATCATCAACCTCTTACCTCGTTTTCATCAGCACGGTAACAACAACGTGCTTTTAGCCATGCGAACCCAGAAACACGGCCCTAAGCCTGAACAACACACATACAAATAAGATGCGCTATTATCCTAATCATTATTATAAATTTTTACCCGAAGGCCAACTAATTTGGTGTAATTTAATTTCTCTCTCACATCCTACGTTTACTATTATTTCATGTATATGCTTCATCATCATCATCGTCTTGCAAACAAGGTAAGAAAAGTGCATGATTGAAGGTATCTCTTTCCTTTTCTCTTTCTCTATTTTTTTTCAATCTTCATCATCATCATCATCATCATCATCATCTCTACACGGTGTAGAGAGTTATCACTCCACGCCCAAGTT